CATAGGCTAGGGCCGTATCTATAATCCAGTTGTCACGGGTAGCTCGATCGTCTTGTCGTTCTTCGAGCGAAGGCGCGTGCGGAACTCCTATCGAGCCCTGTATAATATCGCATTCACCCAAGATAGCGGCAAGAAGGAGACTTTTTCCAGACCCAGTCCTTCCCGCTATCACACTCAATCCTTTCGGTGGGAATTTCAGGTTCAAGTTGCGGAGAACAAAACTATCGTCCATTTCGGGAAGCTTGGGAGTCCCTTCCTCTTGACCGGGCCATGCAATTGTGGCACTTTCGAATGAGATCTCATCGACATTGCTCGTATGGGGCATCTTTTCGGCGGAAGCAAGATACTCCTCGATGCGGTCAGAGCTGACTTTGGCTTCCATACCTTTGGAGATAAGGTCCGGCAGGCCAGCCATAGCGGACTCCAAGTTTCCAAAAACGGAGAGAGCAGTAAATGCGACCGAAGCAGGAAGGTCACCGTACGTCAAAGCGTACACGGTCAAAGAGACTGCAGAAAGCATCAGTGGTCCCAATGTCCAAACCGCCACCAGAGCGGTAGTATAGAGGGAAGTCTTCCACAGCAGAGCAAGTTCAAGTCGACGCTTTTCGTTTATCCGATCTTGCCACTGTTGTTCGAGAGCAGCAAACTTGATCTGTCGGATGCCTTGAAGTACTTCAGTCACGGTGGAAGTGCGCTTGTCATTAGCCTTCATGAACTCCTGCTGCGCAGCAGAGTACCGCTTCGTCACGAACGTATTCAAAGGAGTTATCACTAGCGACACAGATAATCCAGCGAGAAGACTTCTCCATCCCAGTAAATGGGCCAAGAATCCAGCAGCTAGGATAAGTCGCATCATGCATGAGGGAATAAGATAGTTGAAGGTTGCAAAATCGGCTACTCGCTTCGAATCTACTGCTGCGAGGTTCATGATTGTCTGGCGACCTTTTTCCTCTCGTGTCTCTTCATCATCGGGTGTACTATCATCCTTCATCGATTTCATCCCCTTGGCATCCTTGCAGCGCATCGATTTGGCAAATATGATGGACGAAAGCCCCTCGTAGATCGGAATCCAAAGCTGCGAGGATATTATCCACCACAACCACGACTCAATACTGTATGATACGACGATCACCACTCCCAAAGCGGCCACCCATAACCAGGCATGGAGGTTATTCCCAAGCGCGACCGAACGCTCCTCTAATGACTTCAATATTCCATACATCGCTATCTGCGGTCCGAAGCCCAGCACACAAGTAACCAAGCTAAGGACAGCCTGCCAGATCAACGGTCGCATATTCCCAATAACGAGTGCCTTCCACAGTTTGCGGGACTGGCGGGTCTGCTCCAGGCGAGTGTATAGATTCTCAGCACGAACGGTAAACGGCAATTTCGGTAGGTTGTCGATTTCGAGGCTCTTGTTCTCTGCGACATACTCCATCAGGTCATTGACCCAGCTGAAGGTAAATCGGCTGTATACACTATACGTGAGCTCTTGATCAACAATTTGTCCATCATGGTACACATTCGGCCGTCGGGGAATTAGGATCGAGCAAAGGCCACGTAGAAGTGCTGTAATAACCTGGCTGATAAGAAGGCCTGTCTGCGCATGTCCCGGGTTGACGTCGTAACCGGCCGACCAAAAGAGGCTGAGTTGGATGCAGGGGACTGCGACCGTGAGTGTGCTCGCCCAGAACGAGTAGATGCTAAGCCGATACCGCTCTACTGTGGAGGTCTCTGTAAAAAAGGCAACAGATTGCAAGCACAGCAAGGCCTTCATCCATTAATACCATGATATCATGCCAGCATCAAATGTAGCAGCGGTACTTACCCAACCTCCCAAGAGTAGCCAAAACGGGATAATGAAGTAGCTCTGACCAGTCTCGAGACAAACAATCGCGAGCGCGAGCGACAATTCTACTCCGACCACCGATAATATCGCAATCGTTACTCTCTGCCAGGAATCCGCGAAGCTAAGCAAGGACGACTCCGTAGCTTCTCCATCCTCGTCTTGATACCCCGGTTTGGCGATTAGCAACGTCTCCAGGCGTATCGGCTGGGATCTTTTCGACAGCCGGTGAACAACATTTAGTGTTGCTGGTGCTGTATTCAAGGCTATCAATAATAGCCCGAGAACACCTGTTGTAGCTGACCAAATCTCCGGATTGCCTGTCATTCCTTCTCGACCGTGGAAATCATCCGGATAGTTGTTGAGGAAGAAAGCAAACAGGTACAAAGGGACAAATTCACATTTCCGACGTAGTTCACGGGACTCCTATTATCTAACAGACGCGGTATCAAGGCATGGTGCGACTCTTCGCAGGGGCGCCATTCCATCTACAAAACTAACCCCCCCTTGCTTACAAAACATCACGCCTGCATTCCATCACCACGACCACGATAATTTGATTGGATGTCAGCGCTCGCATTTAAAACGGTATTTCATATGAGCCAATTAAATTGGTTATTGGCTATATCGAGGAGCACCAGGACTAAAGCTAACCGATGCGTCGGGAGAGTGCAGGTCGCGTCGGCAGGCGACGATGGGGATAGGGTACAGCGCCAGTCATGTGAATGCATCCTTGTCTTACTTCTGACTATTCATGCATGTGTTGATTACTCGTGCTAATCCCTTGAAAATTCTTTCTGAAGAGAAGATCACAGTTAACTGTATTACTAAGAAGCAATCCTTTTAAGGGTCATAGGCAGTTGCTAGCTATATCAGCCCCAGTCGTCGAAGCCCTTGGACAGGAATAAAATCATGACCTCCTACAGCAGCACTACCTGACACTAGTAACTTTCGATGCATATGATACTGTAGCAGCGCTGAGGAGAACTAAACGCCCTCTATTTTCTAAACTGTGTGCACTCGGTCGGTCCCTTCATTCTCCGTTTAATGACACCTACGCAGGATACGGATTGGGCTATAGTAAGAGCAATGATCTATTCGAGCCATGACCATCCTATCATGAACCAATTTGTGTTACACGAATGCAATCATCACTTTAAACTTCAAACCGCTGACCGGGAGGTAAATCTAGGACATTATCGAACCTTAGCCCATGCGTTATATCACCAATGGAGAGCAAGACCCAAGGTTCTAGATCCCGTTTAGTGGTTCCAGTATAATCCAGCAAATCGGCGTTCCGACACAAGAGCTATATATCCGGTTCCGGTCTCAAATATCAAAGTTCCAAGTGTCAAAGATTCGTAATTGCATAATAGTACCGGTGTCCTGAGGCCAGATGTCCACACTGAGTAGCTTTGTACGGTGTGAGAGCACACAATGTACGAAACAATAGATCTGCTAGTTGTAACCTAAAATCTGCTTAATAGCGGGACTATACGTCCACAGCAACACAATGTCGTTGACATCTCAGTAAAAAAAGATAGAAGTTTATCTAGAATTCAAAGCTTGCTGCTAGCCTAACTCCGTCGGGAGGCTTGCACAAGTGATACAGCGATGTGGATGCGAATCCCGCCGATCTGGAGTTGGGTTTACACCAGAAGATCAAGCATAATTGTCTCTATAGTCTGCCTCTACTTGGTGTGGTGTAGCGATTAAAATAGCGGATTGGCTAACAGAGTTGACTGTCCTTTGGACATGGACGAGCCAAAGTATGATGCTATTCTTTTATAGGATACTATATTTGATCCATTGAATTATTATCTCCTGATAGTAATCTTTATATTTCCGCAACAGGCAACAGTTAATGTACCCTTGTCTTTACATACGATCAGAAGAAGGTACTTGATGCTCCACGCATGATCTCACTAGTATTGCAAACTAGCTAATGGTATTTCAGGATCATAGTCTAGAGCCTTTTCCATTCTTCCATTTTGCAGAGCAATATTACCACAAAACTCTTTTACATTGAAGATTCCCCGTTTGCGTCTTAAGAAGTCATATGAAGGATAACGCCATCAGTATTGACCCACAGATGTATTATGAGATGGTATATGCCAAATGGGACTCAAGAAGAGAACGAGAGTTTATTACGATAGACTCTCAAAATGATGAATCTTAACGTACAATGAAACATTCCAGTACTTAGATCTATGAAAATAATGACATTACTGAGCCAGAGAATTATTCTGGCAGAGACTCAGAAGATATAAATACTCAGTCAAATACCGTTAAAATCTCAAATTTCTCTCCTCATGAATGCCAGACACATCGCTCTTGTTAAGCCTAGGTGAACATATATTCATTGTACCCTATAAAGAAGCTTTCAGAAGCCCCAATGCCTAACAAAAAAGACTATATCTTCAACACGCCCGTTGGAGGAAGTGGAGGTGATAGCTTCGGCGACGAGCTTTGGAGTGATACGCCAGTGAGTGAGATTGAGGCCTGGTACGGTCATGCGTGGGGTGCAGATTTCACGGTGTTGAAAGGAATAAAAGTCCATTGGGGCAACAAGGTCAGCCGAAGGGTTGGCCAACCATCCGATGGGGAGTTGCACACAAGCTATTCATTTGCCCCAAATGAAAGGGTCCACTGGATGACTCTGAAGGGAGCCGACCCACACTCTAAAGGTCGTTGCGACTCGCTCAGTTTTGAAGCAAATAACCCCTTTGCTGCAGGTGGCACTGGTGGCTCTCCACACAATGAGGAACTCGGAAATCACGTTTTCCATGGGTTTGTCGGGAAGGCAGCAGGAGATATTGACAGCCTTGGGGCAGTTTTCCATAGGTAATCAGGGTGAGCTTATAATTCACATGTTTATACTTATGTTCTGCTCATTAACAACTATAGACGCCGACACAAGCCTTCTGCACGGCTTGAGGACCATGCTGAAGCACAAAGAACAATGGATCTACCAGCAGAAAAGTGTTTTACTTGTTTCGCGTACACCAATGTTCCTGGTAGTAATCAACTGTCTGTCAATCTACAAACTCCAATTTGTGTACATTTATGTTAATATCAGAGTATGGGGGAGGTAAAACTTATTTGCAGGTTGAAAGTGGTCATATCCCTTTCTTTTTGGGATTTCCATGCCTTCTTAAGCCGTGTCGTTCCAACAACCAACATTGTATAAGCCGGGATCTACAAATCTTGCACCTGGTTTGTTCTCTTCACCCAAAGCGATCAATGTAGTCCCTACTTTCAGTTAAGAGTGCACCCCTGTCATAGATTCCCTTGAAAACATACCAGTCAGAGAGAAACGGGGCCATCCTAGTTTCTCCAAACCGTGGTGGGGGTCAGCGACGAAGGCAGCCCAAGCATGCTGCATCCTTCTGCGTAGTTTCACCTGGTGGGTGCTTTCCGAGATGTTAGTTACGGCTTGAGAGTTGCCAAAAATCATGTTCAACTCCACTCCATGATAAGCCCCGCTAGTTGGGTACAAACGGGTGTTGTTCCAGTCGGCAAAGTAACTGAAGCGCCAGGCAGGAACACCCGCGCGTATCCGAGCCATGACTGCATCATCAGTAGGGCATGTGAAGGTCTCCTTGTTGAACGCTTGCCATTCCGACTCAGGCAATGTAGATCCTTTGGCCCACGCTGAGATCTTATAGAAACCAGCCTCATTGTGGTTGTGTCCAGCAAGATATGGCTGATTGTACACGATCAGTTGTATTCTAGGAAGTTTGTGGATGCGACAGCTTACAAGGTGTGCAAATCTTCCTGCCCTTGCAAGCAGTCCGTAGTCACTGAAAACCGTGATATTGTCCACAGTGGGCTGGAAGGCGGGCTGCGTTCGGGCTGCACTACTGGTTGTAGGAGGCTTGATCTTGCCCGATGCAGCTAATAATGCTGTTGCACTCTGCCTCTTCATGCACCCAAGCACATCACCTGAATTACATCCCATCAACGAAGTGAGTTCCTCCCAGTGCTGTGTGGATAGTTCTGGGGAGTTAGCTGGGAAGCTGTCGGCCGTTCCCGAATGCGAAATGAGGCCAGCCACGACAGGGTCGTCACGATATGAATATGCCCAAAAATCGGCGGCAGCGCCACCGCAAGACTGCCCAGACATTACAATTCGACTGGGGTCACCGCCGAATGCCTGAATATTGTCCCGTACCCACTCCAATGCCTTTCGCTGGTCGAGAAGTCCGAGATTGGACTGCTTCCCAGGGATACCAGGAAAACCAAAAACATTCATTCGGTATGTCGCAGTGATAACAACAATATCCTCCGCATAGGCAAAGTTTGCTCCCTGGTAAAAAGGAGTATTGGTTGTTCCGGACGTCCATCCTAGATTGTAGTCAGTTAGGTACTTGAGCATACACTGGTAACCTACTCCCGCCATGGAAATGAACTAAAACAGGCTTTAAGGTGTAATTGTCTGCCTTCTTGCTCCAGACATTTAGGGTCAAACAGTCCTCACTGTGACTGTTATTGTTTGATGAGGTAAAAGCGTTCATTATGCTGTCGAACTGTGGTTTTTTATGAGGGTAATTAATCGTTGACCCCACAGCGTATGGGCAGTCGCTATACGTTTCAGATGAAATCCATTTCTGGTCTTCTATTGTGTAACTTACAATCCCTACAAAACATATTGGTCAATATTTATGGGGGGTCGAGAGTGTGGCATCGAAAACCAGAGACTAGACAGACTTACATAATGGCTGGCGACATAGTTTGACCCGCCTTTATATGGTTCTGGTGGTTCAAAGCGCAATTTACCAACCGGTGGTGCAGCATAGGGAATCCCCAAATACTCAACCACGTCCGGATATTCGTGCGATTTATGGCCAATTATCTCGCCGTTGGATGTTTGAACAGCCGATCCATCTACCGAGCGTGCAAATACAGGGCCGCAAAGACCTAAAATAAGGATAGGTATAAGAATGACCATCGTGATAATTTGCGTAATCTCAATATGGCGCTAGGTGCAGGATTGTAGGGGTTATAAGAGTAAGGAGTGCGCTAACTTACACGTTTATCCTCACCCCTCGTATGACAGGGATTCAAATCCTATTTTCGCACTACGGAGTACAATTGGCGCCTTCGGCAATTCCTGGTCAAGCCAATTTATATATACTACTTCCCGGCCTCGTGTTTGGTTGGATCTCTCCTTCGCAATGTCTCTTCTCACCGGGATGCTTCTGCTTGCAATACTTTGGTCAAAGGTATGCACCGCTCCAATATGGACAAGCACCAAAAAACGATAGAAATGCAAACAAGCCATCCATGAACCGAGGTTGACATGTCTTGCTGATAAACGAGCCAATGGTAAGTAGGGCACAGTCTCATTGCCGACACTAGGTATCGTTAGTGCCGATGATCCATCTGCTAGGTGAGGGATTAAGGTTACAATGGATAGGACATTATCATCGGGTTCGTCATTTTTTCTACTCTGGACTAGATACTTGAGCCTTTTTTATGACAATCAAGCAACCTTCTATCCATTTTCCCAACGACCTTTCTCCAGGAACCCATGTCTCCACGTCTACATAGTAACTGGGCTAATCAAATACCGCCATGGAGTTGCGACAAAGCGCGAAAATCCACTTTTCGTTTTGAGCTCACTGTGTACAAGCTTTAAATGACTCAGTCGAGAACGCGTTCTGTCACGCGTTGTGGTAACGGGAATGTGGCAGCAGACCTTCGCATCCCTTCCACGCAAGGTGCCGCTCATGCTGAGATTCTAGCCTCACCCATACTCACGACGTGGGTGAGCACGTGATTAGCGACTGTTTTCTTTAGGTCAGCCTTCAAGTGTATGTCTTGAGAGGCTCATGATCTTTTCTTTGGTGCGTTATTCATGGGGGCTTCCCCCTTTATTTGCTGAACTACCACCTCAAGCTAAAAACTTCTTTCGTTGTCTACTTAATACAGTCCAATACAGAAAAGCAAACGGGGAAGCTGAAAAAAAAAAAAAAAAAAAAAAAGGGTGATTTGCTTGATGTATTTCTTTTTTAAATCAATGTGTAGCATATCAAAAGTTTTCTGGCCGAGTGAGCTCAACATCGGAAATATATATCTGGGTACTTGAGCTGGGTGGATTACCTGCACACCCCATACAGACTTACTGCCCCCGTAGAGAATACATGCTAAGCTAGTGGAATCACCACTAGAATTCTCCTGTATGATATAAAAACGGTTCAAATATAATATTGACAATATGTCGGAAGCGACACGAAAAACACGAAAGTCACTGGGCAGCACCAGTGCGGCGATCATTGTCACAGCAAGGACAGCCGTACGAGGCCGAATGATCGGCTCCCCGACGATATCAAGATAAGGCAAGGCTCTGGCGAATCTTAGGATCGGCTCATAGACCCACGAATAAAACTAGACTAACCGCTGTTAAGCAAAGGGTAACTCTGCGCCAATGACGCGGTCCTGTAAATTTTCGTTTCGCAAGTCAAACTCTCTCAAAATGTGTTCCTGAGCTAGTGGCAGCCTTGCCTTGATCTTTAGACTGAAGATAGTTTAGTATTGCCCACATGGTAGCACCCCCACGCCCGCTGACTTGGCGAACTTGATTATACACAGTACACAGTCACAGCTTAACAGCTTATCTATCCTCGGCCGAATGAAAGTGGGGTGTTGTATATATCGTTGCATTCTTCGGATATATCAGATCGGGTTCCCAAATTAAGTTTTGACATGGATATCTGATCCAGGAAGCGTTTTAAAGGACGATAAGGATGCAGATTAAGATTTGTTGGAGAAAAACAATTTACCCTGATGTTAAATGGTATTGGATGAACCTTTCATAGAGCGTTTATTTAAGGCGACACATATGGGGTTTCCTAGGAAGAAACATTCTTTAGACGCAAGTGCTGTTCTATCTTGTGCATGCATATAGTACATAGTTGAACAGAAGAAGAAAAATGACCAATCATTTCCCTCAATCTGGAAGGGTGGTCTAAGACGCGTAGCTCTTGTGGATTCAAGCAATATGAACCCCACCAGAAGAGTTCCAAGAGCGATGCCACCAATGCTTAGGGTACATGATGACCCAACCCGCGTCATTGAATTTTCAGTAGCTGCAACGCTAAGGAGGACGTATCAGGTGCTATGCAAGCCGATACATAAGACGCTGTACGCGTGACCTTCAACTTTGTATTTGGGCTCTATAACGCATGATTTAGGACCGAGGCTTTTGTGGCCAGACAACTTTGAAGCCAAGAGCCACGGAAACATGTCCCGTCCCGGGAAGCATTCGGCGATTTAACAACAGTTTCATCGGACGAAAGCTCCATCAACTGATCGGCCCACTCTATATGTTTGCTGGCAATCAGGAGAACTTCAGTTCGCATAAAACCCTTGATGCTATGAGCGTCCAGCAGCCGGCCCATCAACTGAAAACACCCATTAAGGGAGACAGAAGTGTTGATGGCGTAGTCGACAGTGTTCTTACATCCTAAGCTACTGCAGCAGTCACCCCAGTTTCCTCTCGTGGAAGCAGTTCAAAACGCGTCAATGACAACACATGAAGAGGCATACTTGGTCGGCTGTTTTTGAGAAAATTGCTTGGAAAGAAAAATGCTAGACATGCGGGTACTTGCCAAGCATTGTGGTGAATGCGGCTTGTATCTTATCCACTGCAAATTTTTTTCTCACTCGCCTTGGCTTGTCAATGGCCATACAATTTGCAACTTATGCAAGGATTAGCGTCTGCATAAATCTGCTAGTATCAAGTCCGGCCCATGGTTGCCACCGGGTCGGAATCATAAGTCCATCCTGCTGTTACGGCCGGAAAGCTTCCGACTTTAATAAGCTTAACCACAGGCCTATTAGTGGCAGGCACAGTTGAATCCGATCCATTTCTATCTTCTGGTAGTCCCATTGTCAGTTGTACCTGATGTCTCACCAAGTGTGGGTCGATTTCAGCAGTCTAACTCTCCACAATACGGAGTAGCCATCACACCATACTTCCCTGTCAGGGGAATCTATATGTCATCTACAATTGCTATTTGAAATTTTATCTGCTGTATTCTTCGGCCTCTCCATACTGAGGTGTTCCCTGAGTCACATTAGTTCGAAAAGAGTGAGTGCAGGTGCTGGGGCTTTTTTGAGGCATTCGGTATTACTTATGAAATTTATTCTGTATTCCGGAACTACCAATGTTTCATTTTCATTGTATTGAGGAAATTCTATTGGAGTGTTCAAAGGAACAAAGAAGGCAGTGGAAAGGGAGCCCCAGATAGGGAGGCCGTGAAGACGCGCCTTTTAGATTTATGCCTCGGAGAAACGATGGAGAAACATCACGATTAAGGAATAATTGGCGAGAGGGTCTTATTCCATATAAAACGAAGATCTACATGGCCGAGACACGCCATTCTTCGGCTACTGCCTGAAGTTCGCCTTGGGTGGGGAATGCTACCTCTAGATAAATCCAACGAACAGCATTGGGCAGATCATACTGGTCTTCCATATATGGAGCTGAAGCTATCGAATCCTTCGTGTCATCAACCCGTTCTCCTGTCGCATTGGCATGTACTGTACGTAATGTAACTGACAACGACCCGAGAAAATCGAGTAGCTGTTCGAGAGTTTGCTGCATATTAATGAGCTGATCATATTTGCCATATCTTATTAAACGGCGTGTCATATCGTATGGAATCGAAAGGCAGGTGGTCGCGGGATGAGTCTATATATATCCACTCTTGCCTTATAAATCTTCGATGTGGGACTGAATTGCAGAAGATGCTCCGAAAGAGTGGATTCCAGCATCAACAGTCACAACGGCCCAGTACTAGCGTTGATCTGTTGCATCCTTTCGTCCTGATTGGATCCAGCTGCTATTAGCCAATATATCCTTGGGCAAGGCTATGCAGAAATCATGGTGTAGCGCGATCTCATCTCGGCTGGCCTGCCTGACTCCATTTTCAACGACACGTTTACCAAGTTTGCTAACCCAGTATGTCTGCACGGATTCTGTATCGTCCATAGCTATATACTAGGTGGGGGCTGCCCCTACACAAGTCCGAAGTCGGGTTGGTTTTTCTAATTTCTGATCAATGTTCTCACCTCGATCTCTACCGCAACCCCGTCCTAGGTAACAGCAGAGGCAGACATTTTAACAATGTCTGCCAGTGTGACTGATACCACTGATACTCATGATAAAGGTCCTCGAATTCTCGCGGTGGTATGGACATTATCGGCCCTTACGACTATTGTCGTCGCTGCACGTGTGTACATCCGTCAATGGTTGATCCGCAATGCCGGTATTGATGACTATATTATTGTTCTGGCACTGGTAATGCCCCTACATCACCTTCACACGTCAGAGTCTCACAGCTTACTGTGTACAGTGCCTAACATTAACGTCCGTGGGAATGACAACGGCAAACGTACATATGGGATACGGAAAACACGCCTGGTTCCTGGACCCAAGCACCGTGGAGACGATAAGCTTGGTCAATACTATCAGCTTTGCAATCGGCATCTTTTGCTTTACCGTTCCCAAGGTCGCAGTAACGGTTCTCTTGACTCGGATCCTCAACCCAAGCCGTGCACAGCGTATATGGCTATGGAGCATGATTGGAGTCACGGCTTCGGTGTCATTCGCATGTATATTTTTGTTATTTGTGCAATGCGACCCCCCTCAGGCCGCATGGCAGCGCCGCCTCGTCACCGAGGGCAACGCAAACTGCAATGATGTACAAATTTTGATTAAGTATGCCATCTTCAATGCTGGTAGGTTCTTCTCAGCTCTCATTGGAGAATACAGCTGATTGTGTGCTAGCGCTATCGGCAAGTGTCGATCTGTACTTGGCCATATATCCCAGTACTGTCCTCATGAAACTCCGCATGCCCTTGCGGAAACGCCTAGCGCTTTGTGCTGCTTTGGGTATGGGATCTATGTATGTTAACTGTCAGTCACATTTGCTAGACGATAACTAATCGATGTAAGTGCCGCTGCGACCGCTATTGCAAAAAGCACGCAATTTCCAGACTTTGCAAATCAGGATGACTATACATGTGAGAGCCCCCGGAACTCATCTCTCCAGCTATTGCTAAGAATCCCAGACGCAACCGCGGATCTTGTCATGTGGACAAAGTAAGCCAGGCACATTCTCTCTTGACAAGCTCATACTAACCAATCCAGCGTCGAATCCAATGTTCTCATTCTAGCATCCTGCATTCCGACTCTTCAACCCATCATCGAGCTGGCACTTAGGGGGCACATTCGTACTCGAAGCCCTCGAGGGAAAGACGCCAACTATCCACGCGATTCCGCTTTCCAGAGAACCGGGCATAAAACAAACCGGCGGTCGGATCGGTCGATTACACACGTCGAGAGCCAAGAGAGTATCCTTGGTGCTGAAGAACGACAGAAAAATAGTCATCCACTCGGTGCTATTGTGCGGACAGATGATGTTCAAGTGGAATTCAACACTAGATCTGCGCATAGCGTGCCAGAGAGACATATGACGTGGCAGATTGGGTAGAAACTTATACCATAGGATCTATGATATCCGTTCAGGGTATGGAGGAGGATGTTCTTTTCACACCATTTGTCTGTATATACCGTATGTTGTTTGAGCTGGGCAGATACATAGATTTATTTATGACCTGGCATACGTATTTTATTAACTTAGTTTTTGTCTAGTATGAGGACCACACAGTGAGATATTCATTTCTTGATGTTATCTGGATTACCAATCAGATACTCTCAGCCCCTGGGCGCGTCGAGATTTGGATACTTCCCCCAATCTGTTTCTACCACTGGAACTCCTCCATGTGGACCAATTGTCTTACTTTGGACCATATTTAGATCTATATTCTCCGTAAGGGTCTGTGCAAAAGTACGGGAGCGTTGGTCTATATTGGGCACCATTCGGAAGGATTCCGCTTTCAACGTCCATGGACTAGTGCGATCCTTCTGGTCCAAATTGATGTTAATAGACAGGAAAGGATGCTTTGACGATAGCAGGGGTTGATTTCTGTTTATATCTCTCTCCCTATCTATTCCACTTGGCAGACCATAGACTCGGAACCTATATTACGTCTCAGTTCTTGCAAACTGGTCCAACTCTGGAACTGTCATCCAAAACTACAACAAGCACAGCGACAGCCCAAGTCCGGCGATTCATAGTACACCTTCTATCGAATAATAGCAGTCTACAAACACAGAACCATGAATCGCGAAGAGTCACACCAGGTAGTATGAGATGCCACAAAGAAACTAGACCCCAAAGAGCAATGAATCTAGACTGCAACGTCCTGACCCTCGGTTTCTTGGTAATCCCGATAGGTTTCCCTTCGGCATGTCAGTTCCACTCGGGTCGGCAAACCGGGAGCACATTCCGGGGGCCTCTTGGCATATAAAACCTTGTCCTTTGAACAGCGAAACTTGCAGTGCATGGTTAAACTGAGAAGCTCCTTTGGAGTTCTAGAGATGCTGTTTTACACCCCAAGAAAACTGGTTTCCGTTACCGGGGTTGTGTGCGACCTAGATTCAGGAATTGGAGATGCAAATCCACACCGGGTGAAACCGGGATGCCGACAACATCCACACGTGATCAAAGGCTTACTGCCCAAGGCATAAACACAACACATTAACTCGATAAGATAAGCGCTGGAGCATCGTCATCCTAAATCGCCGTGATGGATATCGTGCTCTAGAGCTCTTTCTCTTCCTCCCCCAGACCCAACATGAAGAATGCCACCAGCAAGCAGCGAGGAGCACATTCAAGAGATCCCAAACATCCCTAATATGATGATATCATAATACTCCAACGACTCAATCCCCCAACAGTCACCCCCACCAGCAACCCAAACCCTTATTCACCGAAGAAGCCCCAAAGGGCAAAAGCAACATCTCCGCCCCACAGTCCCATATAAGAACTCGCAACTTAGCTCCGTTACCCCTCCAAACCTCCACGTTTCACACCTGGAAGCAAATCCCAAAGTGCCCAAGATGGTCTACACAATCGTTGTCCGTACGTTATCTCCCCGGAATGGCTTTCGCAGCGCGGTGATTGATTGAGACTAACTCGGCCGGGGTTGGGATTATAGACATGCGCGCGAAGCCCGATGAGGAGTCTATCTCCAAGCTCCACGCCAAGCTCCTGGAGGCCTCGGCCGTTTACTCGAAGGATAAGGAGACTCTCTCCTGGTTCGTGATGCAGTCGGTCCATGACAAGCAGGACTTCTGTATTGTGGAGCGGTATCTCAATGAGGGCTCGCAGAAGTATCACCTCGAGAACCCTTACTGGAAGACTTTCGATCCCTATGTCATTCCTCTGTTGGAGAAGGAGATGGATCTCCGGAGATTCGAGGAGTTGGTTCCTGAGGGTGAGGAGAACAAGTAAACGTGTTTGGGATGGATGTTATGATGTATAACCGATCCCTACACCAGTACCGGGGTCGGTTAATGTTTACGTGAGGATCAAACAAATATGATGTCCGGTATATATATATATATATATAATTTGTTTTGATGTACTACGTCAGGCCTCTAGGAGGAAAGCTGACGGGATTCTCTCAATTGTTGCTGTACCAAGTGTTGTAGGTGCTAATGTGGAGCTCCCGGCAATCGCTGCTACTATATTTATCGAGGCGAGTCAGCAACTAGTTATTGACCTCTTCACAGTTGCGGTAAACAAAGTCATTCGGATTTTGCCATACTATTGTCCCCTCATAATGGAACATCAACCGGGCAGATCAAATTAATTTAGACTGCATCTGAGTGTATTATCAGTTCCTCCGCTTGGCCATGCTAAACAGGAAGTTATTATGCCTACGCAAATGTCGTGGCCAATGCACTTGCCGACCTTTCTTCTTGTAGAGTACTCCATACAGTATTATCTAGAGGCAATGGGTCGCCCCGAGTCTAGAAACGGAGGGGCGTATTGGCCTAATAGAATAAGCTTGAAAGACTTACCCCGCATTATCTCGCCAAAGTCAATGCGATGTTCCTGTGAATAATATTTGGGTCGAACCATACACCTGTTGGCGACAAAGTTAATTGAGTGGATGATAGGAGAGTCGGACCGAAGTCCGATGCAGATAGCTTATTCTCATTTGACGAGAGGGCCGATCATCTCGAATGGAATGCTAGGGCGCACAGTAGGGCGTCCAGTCACTGTATCACGTGAGTTTACAAGAAGCTGCCCTGTACCATTGTCCATAGCAGATAAAGCTATCTGCAACGTACATACGAAGTCGGGCCTTTGCGTTAAACACTTTACCTTCACCTGATACCAGGCTCCGAAGCATCATGGGGGCCCAATCGCCGAAAGAGATGATCTTGTGCATCGAGGATATCAAATCCGCCGCGGGGCAGAAGCTACCCGCATCATCCAGAGGTGCGGGGTGACACCGACATGAGCACACAACTCCATTGTTACTGACTACGAGATGATCTAGATTTCTACAATGCAGGCTCGACGGACCAAGTCACCGTCACGGAGAATTCCACCGCCTATGCGAAGTACCGGCTGCGTCCGCGGGTACTCGTTGACGTCTCGCAGGCAGACACGAGCACCACCGTGTTCGGAGAGAAGATCAGCTTTCCGCTATGTGTAGCGCCGGCGGGCATCCAGGCAATGGCACATCCAGATGGTGAACTGGCGACAAGTCGCGCGTGTGCGAAACAACAGGTCCACATGGGTGTTTCGTCGTTCGCAAATTATTCTGTGGAGGAGATCCGCGCGGCGGGGATGGACGTCGGACCGATACAGCACACCATGCAGATTTATACCATGCAAGATCGAGCACACCAGGAGCGCATTATCAGACGTGCCGAAGCGGCGGGTTGCGTCGCGATCTTCTTAACGGCGGACAGTCCGATTCTTGGCGTGCGGTACAGTGAGCATCGGAATGATTTCCGAGCGCCCGAAGGCCTCGCCTTTCCCATGCTGGAGAAGACGTCGGAGATGATTCGTGCTGAGCGACACGAGGATGGGTTCACGGGAGTCAATTCAAGCTCGCATTCATGGGCTCGGGAAATCCCCTGGCTCAGAAGCGTGACCAAAATGCAGATCTGGATCAAGGGCGTGCTCACGGCAGAGGACGTGGAGCTTGCCATCCAGTACGGTTGTGACGGAGTCGTCGTGAGTAATCATGGCGGCAGACAGCTTGACGGCACTCCGGCCACGATTGATGCCCTTCCGGAGTGTGCGAAAGCTGCGAAGGGTAAGATCCGAGTACACATCGACGGGGGGATCCGCAACGGAACGGACATTTTCAAAGCCCTGGCGCTTGGTGCGGAATGCTGTTGGATTGGACGGCCGATCATCTGGGGTCTTGCAGTAAGTCACGCATCTAACGATGCTCTTCCATTCCTCCAAGCAGCAGTGTCGCTGATCAGTTCTCGCGGTAGTATGACGGAGAGGCCGGGGCGAGTAAAGTGCTGGAGATTCTGTATGCGGAGTTCAAACGCTGCATGCAGCTCACGGGCTGTAAGAGCGTAGCGGATATTTCTCCGGCTTCGCTGGGCGTCGTGAGAAGTGATGGGCCATTAGCCCGGTTGTAACCTTTGCCGCCCATTCGCAATTTTGTCCTTCAGTTCCCTGTCATTCCTGTGCATTTTTGGTACTGTTCCATTGTTCAGTTGCATAAATACGGAGTACTTGTGGCTATGTTAACGACCGGATAGATCGCAATTTGAAAAGGGGAATGGGTTGACGGATGCGGAAGTCCCGAGAGCTGAAAGAGTTCAAAATCATTCAAAGGGGCAAGGCGTCAGGACACGTGCCCCGCTAGTTAACTTCAAGTTTTTCCCAGTGGAGACGATCTAATTCTTGAGTCGCGATTTCATTTTCAATTTCCTTCCGACAAGGAGAGTCGAGTCTCTTTGATCATGAAAAGAAAGCGACACAAACAATGTATGCATGGTGGGATCTTGTTCCTTTTGTAAACGAATACGACTGTCATCTGGTCGGGTCTAGAATCATGAATGCCGGTATCAGTGCTATTTATAGCAAACCTACATGCAAGGAATTCAATTTGATTGATCCCCACCCGCTGGAGATCGTGAGGAAACAGTTTGAGGAAGGACCTGGAGTGAATTAGAAAGATAGCCTGTCCTCCGACTTTCCCCTGCACCACCTCTTGCCGGAACGTCCATCATTGCGCCCCGTTTGGCCGCCAAGGTAGGGTTAGCATACGGCAAGAAATGACGCCGAGAAACTCAACCCAGGCGCACCACGTTGTGCAAGTCTTGGACCGCAAAAAGATTCGTCACGGAGCAACAAGTCTGGGGAAGACAGACGATGGAACCGAAGACGATCAAACCAGGGTCAGCGCCCTCTGCGACTTGACATGAACCCCTAATAAAGAAACGAAGATTCAACAGGCAGCCAGGAAAACGCGATGAGACTTGGCGCGCGCTAAAACCCCCGAAAAAGCAGGGAGCGCCGCGATCCCATTGGCGGACGCGACTGTGGCGGGGACATCTTGGCGGATACACTGGTCGCTTGGCGTTTCACTGCCAAACTTGCCTTTCCTCGTCTTGCCCCCCCTTTAAAATTCCACCACATAATAATAATGTCTGTCCCGTCGCCCCTGGGAAAAAATAAAGCTCCGTCATACCAGCCCTTCGCATAGCTGGAGCCAAACTAGGGCGATCAATCCTGAATTAAGCATAAATCTGTTCATAATACATACTATACTGACTCTCACACAAACAAACACAAACACACACAATCCCCCCCCCCATATGCGCGGACTAAGTTGGCAACAGCTCGGCGGAGCTGTCCTGCTCCTGCTTCAGGGGCAGGTGGCCCTGTCGGCCCTCACCGTGCAGGTGAATAGTAAGGGTATGTCGATGCTTTCTATTTCCTAATTCGGTTCTGTGGGTGAAAGAGTACGAGTTCTTAGGGCATGATTTCCAGATTCGTTGGCCAACGCGGGGAAGCAGATCGCCGATCCTATGATGGACTTCTATGACAAAAATCAGACGGAAGGCATTCCCGGCAAGCTCACCGACACCTGGTACGTCGCTGGCGCCATGTTCATGACCTTGATTCAGTACTGGGCCACCTCGGGTGTCGACCAATACAACAAGGTCGTGTCACATGATATGATGTTCCAGTCGGGGGAGAATTACGATTACTTCTCCGCCAACTATAGTCAATGGCTGGTAGGTGTGAGACGCGTCCCACGGATAAGTATCATGGTTAACCGTGAACCAGGGAAACGATGACCAAATGTTCTGGGGTCTTGCCAGTATCACCGCGTCGGAGACCGGGTTCCCTGAAATCTCGGGGAAACCCACCTGGACGTCTCTGGCTCGGACTGTGTTCAATATGCAGATCGGACGGTGGGATGAGACCGCTTGCAATGGTGGTTTGCGCTGGCAAATCTGGCCCTACCAGGCGGGTTACACCATGAAAAACTCCATCTCGAATGGCGGTCTGTTCGAGTTGTCCGCTCGTCTCGCCCGCTTCACCAAGAACGACACCTACGCCCAGTGGGCTGAGAAGATCTGGGACTGGTCGACGAGCTCACCTCTCATCCGCACCGACAAGTGGTACGTGGCTGACTCGACGTCAAATGAAAACAACTGCAAAGACTCCGGCAACAACCAATGGACGTACAACTACGGAACCTTTATGTCTGGTGCCGCGTTCATGTATAACTATGTGGGTCATTCCATCCGACTCTGCCTGTTTCCTGACCAGCATACTGATCTGTACCTAGACCAATGGCGACGAGAAGTGGTTGAAGCGTGTCAATGGCTTGTTAGAAAGCACCTTTGCCACGTTCTTTCCGTCCAACTTCGGCGGTAACGTGCTGTCGGAGGTGGCCTGTGAGCCGATCATGAGCTGCGATCGCAACCAATTAGGTTTTAAGGGATATACGGCTATGTGGCTGGCCCATACCGCCATTTTGGTTCCCTCGACCGCGGACCGAATCATCCCCAAACTGCAAGGCTCTGCAGAAGCAATTGCAAAGCAGTGCTCGGGCGGGTCCGACAATCTCTGTGGTGAAACATGGGGCAAACCCACTTGGGACGGGATGTCGGGCCTGGAAGTGCAGATGGCCGCATTGGGTGGAATTACTTCGAACTTGATGCTCCTGGAGAGCAAGGCGCCGCAGACCATCGACACAAATCCCGACGCAGCGGAACACCACATTGATAATAACGACAACAGCAACAAGGACCCGACCAAGTCGAAGCCGATTGAGACCGCGGATCGGGCCGGAGCCTGGATCTTGACGGTCATGATCGCTGCCGGTGCGATAGGCGCCGTGGGGTGGTTGATCAAGACGCAATAAGGGATCTGTTGGCTTTTCTTTTCATGTACAAATCGTCGTGCTCAAACGGGTCAGGTGGGACATATCTTTTATTCCGGAAATAGCTTTCGTGCATTATGTTTTACTATGCTTTCCTTTCTCATGACACCGAATAAATACCTAATCAGAACATATCTTCATACCCCTTTGACAAATACTTCCTGGTGCAAGAGAGTGTGTTAAACACAGTACCGAAGAGAATAACAAATATACCAATCCAATATGCGACAAATCAATTGTACCCTACCCATCAAGTGCCTGCACAACCTGTGCCCAATCCCCAAATCCATAAGCACCGGGCACGGAGGGCCCGTCGAATAAACTCGCCAACACCACACGATCCGTCTGCTCCCCTTCCCATGGCTCCCTCCCATGCTGTGCAATAATATTATCAAAAACCAATACATCCCCCTCCTGCCACCGATGCAGCACCCTAATCTCATCCGTAATCTTGGCTAAATGCGCCAGGTATTTTTCCGGAATAGGTGTCCCATCACCATAGAGCTGATGCGTCACATTCTTCCTCTGGTCATTTGCCTGTAACCTCTTATAGTACGCGGCCAGCCCAGTAAACAGCGTGGGCAGATTCGTCCCCGGCTGCGTCCGAATCACCGGCAGTCGATGGGTAAGCACGATCCCAGTCTCGGTCCATTCCCATGTCGTATGGCCCCCACGACCATACCGGGCAATCTGCGCTTCGATCTTCCTGCGCCTCGTCTCTTCATCGTCCCCATCCTGGATCTCTTTCCCGAATGCCTGGCGCAACGTCGACCCGCCCTCATACTGCTTGTCAAAATTGTAGACCACCCGACTCAGAACGCCCTTCTCAGCAAGCTCATCGACAAACTCGGGTATTTCCGCCTGCGCGCGCCGGAACAACTCCAACGACGAAGAAATCGGCGTTTCCCCGCCCTTCGCTGGAGCGCGCTGGTTGAAGAAGAAGATATACTCCGGCGCGTGGGGAACCTGCGGCGACTCGTTGTGGTTATAGATCTGCACTTCTTTCGGTGCTTCGTTGGCGGGGGCTACATTCGGGGCGAGTAAGGGGCGGTCGACTACGATGCCGATGATCTCGTGCGGCTTGTATCCGAAGGCGTGGGCGAATCTACTGAAGTCGTCCGCGTTGTGGATTGGGAGGTCCCGAAAGAGGAGGGTGCCGTGGCGCGCGAGGTATTTGGTGAAGGTTTGATCGCGCGATTGTAGGGTTTCGATTGTGGAAATGATGGCGTCGAGAGTGAGGGACTGTTTACTGTCCTCTGTTGGGCGTAGGGCTAGGGGGATCACGGTGTTGCTGGGATGCGGTGGGCCGAGGATGCGTTGGTTGGTCGGGGGGAGCGCGAAGGGTTCGAATGTGATGGTTGGAGATGGGGTGTCGGTGAGGTGGAGGTTGGGGATATTCAATTGCTCGATGGAGGTGGTCATATTGTGTGTCTATCTATATGGATTGGAAGGGTTGAGTCTTCGTGAGGGAACGAGGTTGGACTGCTCGGTATATGACTGCCATCCATCCCCGCATCGACTATCTCGGTGCGATAGGTCGATGATGTGCTCAGTGGCGCCAAGATTGCGCCAACCCCGCCATTTGGCTGCTGCTTGTGATACTCTTCGAGCAAGACAAGGATTGCCGGTTATGAGTGGTCATCTGCATATTGCGTCACAAGTCTAGGTCCTTATCTACCGGTCCTTCAGGTTCTTGACGCGCCATGGCCGAGGTTATATAGTTATCATGCAAGGCGAGGATGATCTTGCGTGCTTGGGGAATGATGAGTGATCTCTATCTATAATCTGAGTGAAGAGTCAGCCAGTCTGTTATTGAGACTCCCACCCCAGCACGCAAGACATTATCAAAAACAAAGAGGAGGGGTCAAACGCTGTTCTCATGATGGCAGCAAGCAGCAAGGACGGAGAACAAGTATCCCCAACAGTAACCGACAATGGCGAGAACCACCTGCAAAAAAGGCGATCCTTCTTTCGCAGTACGCTATTCCAAATCCTCGTTGTTGGCCTCTGCGCCTTCTGTGCCCCAGGGATATGGAGCGCCATGAACGGCCTGGGCGTGGGGGGCTCACAAAGCCCGAACTTGGTGAACGCCGCCAACGCCCTGTTGTACGCCTTTATGACGGTAACCTGCTTTGCCGGCCCCTGGCTGACGAACATCATCGGGTTCCGCTACACGCTGGCAATCGGGTCAGTCGGCTACCCGCTCTACGCTGCAGGTCTATACCTGAACAACCGCACCGGCGCCACCTGGCTCGTCTATCTTGGCTCCATAACCTGCGGCCTCAGCGCCGGCTTCTTCTGGAGCGTCGAAGGCGCCATCGCCACAGGCTATCCAGAGCAGCACAAACGAGGCCGGTACATCGCAACGTGGTTCACATTCCGGAATTTCGGAAACATCATCGGCGGCGCCATCTCCCTGGGGATCAACCACAGCGTCAACAAACGCGGGCAGGTAGGATACCAAACCTATCTTGGGTTCATCGCCATCCAATGCCTGGGTCTCGTGTTTGGCCTTTTACTCTCAAACCCCGAGAAAGTCCAACGCGACGACGGAACTCGCATCGAAGCCCCCAGGAACATAAACTGGCGCACAGAATTGCGTGCCATGTGGCGTCTCGCCCGAAGTAAATCCATCCTCCTCCTCACGCCCCTGTTCTGGTACTTCGGCTGGATCCAGGCCTACCCGGGCACCTACCTGGCAACCTACTTCACGGTTCGCTCGCGGGCACTCGGCAGCTTCCTCTCGGCCGTAGTCGGCACGCTAGCCACCTGGCTGGGCGGTACACTCGTCGACCTACCCTGGCTTCCAAGCCGGAAGGCAAGGGCTGTAACAACATACGGCCTCATTGCAGCCATGAACACCGCAACGTGGATCTGGGCCGTGGTGATTCAAAACGAATACAGACATACAAAGCCCGTGCTGGACTGGGCGGACCAAAGCGCGTTTGGGCGCGGCTTCGGGGTCTACATGTTCGAGCGGATCAGCTTAGGCATGGTCGAGAACTATATCTACTGGTGTATTGGGAATCTGTCGGATTCGCCCGGTGATCAGATCAGATATAGCTCTTTGTTGAGGGGGATTGAGACTGCCGGTGTGGCGGTCGGGTTCGGGGTACAGGCTGTGCCGACGGCTTTGATTGTGACTGCGGGAATTAATCTGGGGTTGTGGTGTGTTGCGTTGCCATTTAGCTATTATGCTACTCTGGGGGTTGTGAGGAAGTTCGCGAAGTTGGAGTTGGTAGGGCAAGGGGATAGACCTGAAGAGAGATATTGATGAAATAGAATTAAGTGTATATGAGCTACAGTTAGACTGCAATGCGAGGCTGGCTGGACAGGTTATCTAGTGTGTTCAATCGGTATTGATCTCACTCAAAATCACATCTGCGGCCTTTTCGGCCACTGTATAGATCGCCAGAGCAGGAAATGTACCTGGTATACGAGGAAACGCAGAGCCGTCAACGACGCGTAACCGGTCCACCCCACGAACCCGGAACTTTGAATCAAGCACGGCCATCGGGTCATCATCGCTGCCGAGCAGACAAGTACGCATAGAAGGATGTCCCCATGCGGTGTCCTTGATATAAGTCTCTGTGTCCTCTTGGGAGGTAACGTTGGCACCAGGTAGGACCTCAGAAACGGGGAGGAGCTGACGCTTGAAAGCCCTACAGCCCAGCTCGAGTGCTTCATACATAGCCTGTAGGTCTGCCCTGTAGTCGCCAATGCCGGTGTCGAAGTAATTGGACATAATTTCCGGCGGATCGAGCGGGTCCGCAGACCAAAGTGTCACAGTCCCAGCGTTATTTCGAGGATGAGCTTCAAGCGCAGTCCAGGTGAACTAGTCATGCCTGGCAGTGGCGTTGTGAGCGTGGCCCGGGAAATAGTCCCGGAAGTTACCCACAACAGAGAACAGATTGATGTCAATTTCGTCGTTAGTAGTGGCTGTACTCTTGTAGAACATCGATGTGAGAACACCCGAAGAGCTGTAGATGCCGCGGTCGCCGAGTACTGATTTCATCCAGCGCGCAAGGCATGGATCAGATCGGCCATGGAAGCCTAAAGTACAACCTTTTAGAGAGGAGAGGTCCTTCGGGGTGTGAACCTGTACCATTGCTTCATATTGATCTTGAAGGTTCTTCCCCACGTCTGGTAGGTCGACTGGGACTTTGATGCCATGTTTCTTGAGCTCAGTACTTGTGGCGAGTTATATATACCCCTCGAGCGATGATGACCTCGCACGATGCAGTGGACACCGGCTTTACCATTGCTAGATAAGGGACTGGCTTTGTACAAATATTCGCCGTCGAGGAACCCTACGCCTATGGCGCGAGGTGGGTTAGCAGAATCATTAATTTCAAGCTTGGTCACAAAACAATTCATCTGATCATCAAGAGGGTATTTCTTGCTTCCATCCTCATTGACTGCACCACGAACCGAGACTATAAACTCCCGCGATCCGTTGCGCTTAGCATCATTCACTGAAAGAGGCGAGGTATAGTAAGCAGGCGTCTTGTCGCGCGCCTCAGTGTGGGCATTTGTATCGCCGACAACACAGCGAAGCAATGTTGGTGAGAGCATTTGTCCCATTATCTAACACAAAGGTACCACCAAGGACCAGGCTCAGTATCTGTGGATCCTGCAACAATATTCGCAACGGCAGGGTCTCAACATACTATAAACAAGAACATAATGCATCCATTTCCAGACAGCAATCAATATCAATCAAGTCAAAAGACCAAACCATACTCTAGTCTACAGATGAATGGTGCTGGATGCAATGAAAATCGCCTTTGCTGTTCTTAGGGCTTCTGAAGCCAAGCCATATAAGCCACAACTCGAACTCCGAAGCTACTCCGTAGTCCGATAGCCACGGAGTTCTCACCCCGCACAACTCTCACAACTCTTGCATACTTATACCCCCCTCAGAGCAGTTACCATTCTAGTCTATAACTCCAACTCCAATTAGCAGATCAGACCAGAAAAGTAACAATGTCAAATACACCCACACTCCCACCCGGCTACTCCCTCCGCCAAGGCTACCCCTCAGTACGAGATTACATCCATCTCCGCTCCGCCTCAGGTCTATCACCCCACAGCGCCGCCCAAGCAGAGGCCGCAATGCGCGGTAGCTGGTACGGGTGCTACATTGCGTACACCGGGACCTCCGAGCCAGACCCCAAGGATGTTGACATATCCAGCTCCAATGGTACGAACAGCGACGAAGTCATAGTCGGTATGGGTCGTGTCATCGGCGACGGAGGCTGGTATTTCCACATCGCCGATATGGCCGTGCTGCCGGAGCACCAGCGCAAGGGACTGGGCGATGTGATTTTGAAACATCTCATGAGCAGAATTCGTTCGCTGGCGCCGCCGCCGGAAAGAGCGCCCGATGGGAGACTGATGGGTACCTATGTGAACTTGTTAGCTGACGTGCCGGGTCGCAAATTGTATGCCAGGAATGGGTTTGTCGATTCGATGCCGCATTCTATGGGTATGGTGCAATTGTTGGATGGGGAGGGCGCTTAGAATGGGGTGTTAGCGGTGGTATCTTTACCTGTACAGATGGGGATCGTGTTGTGTGGGTGGGCTAGACGATTCAGTTGTGGTGTGTCAATCTACGAAGTTGTATATTGAGCGTCGTTGGTCATGGTTTCTTTAAGCGATACTTGGCAGATCTTACAAATACCAAGGAAAGACGGTAGAGTCAATATTATCATAAACAGATGCTGACACTGGTGGTAAGCTAACGACTAACCAGACCCTTTCTTGATATAATTCAATTTTCTAGACAATTAATGGAAGATGGAGTCAAACAGTTGAGGCTGTATCGTACTCCTCGAGCACAACAAGCACTGTTAACTAGACCGTTCAACGCATAACTGTAAGCCTGTGTCCATCGAAATCCATCGTATACACTATAATGAGCACCGTTATTTGTCCAAAGGAAACATGGATACACTTTCATTGCACGAAATCATATAATTAGACTCTATCCGAATATATACTCCCCGCAGGGTCCTTCCTCCAAGCCTTAATATTCTCTATCCCGCTCTTGATCGTCCTCCATCCCAGAGAATAGTACACCAACCCAAGCAAAGCCATCGAATAACCCACGATCTGAATCGTGCTCACCTGCGTGTGCCAGAGCACGACCGAGGCAACAATAAGCAGAATGTTCTTCGGAATACTGACAAGCGTCGTCGTCAGTCCCGACGTCTTTCCGATCTGAAGACATTGTTAGCCTGTTCGTTGCATGTGCGGGACCGAGTTACTCACAAGGACAAAGATGGACACGTTCAGCATGAATCCCACCACAGCGTTTGACAACAGCGTCAAATAGCCAGTGTTGGGGACAACACTCCAGTGGAAATCTCTGAGCTCTGTATTCCAGGCAATTATGGAGTTCATGACAGCGCAGACCGGCGCGGCATAGTAGAGGCTGACGAGCGGGTCCATTTTCTGGCCGTCATCAGAGAGCAGGATTTGCATCATCACGAGCCGGTTCGCGTCGCAGAAGAGACTGGCCATCTGGTAGAAGATGCCGAGTAGTGAAAATTGGATTTCACCTGACACGGCCAGGCCCACACTGCATGTGATTACTAGGACGTTTATCAGTACCTCCACTGAAGGTGTCGCTACTCCCCATGACCAGCTGACCAGGAGGGTGACGACTGGTCCGGCGGCCTGGTGGAATTATCAGCTTCACGTTGCCTTTGAGCTATATAAGACTAGCGGGGCAATCGGATAATACCTTCAGCATTTGAATAAATGAAATGTTGAGGTAGAGGTAGACGATATTTCCGAAGACAAGGCTGCCGCTGTAAAGCAGACCAATGGGAAGCATCGTGCGTGCATACATTCGGCTATTCATCTCGATATTCTTACGGCTATCCAGTAAGGTCGTAGTCCGTGCCAGGACCTGAGTGACCACCGTAGCGAATACCAGATGCCATGTTGTGAGAAGGATGGCTGCAATTCTTTAGCAAGTGAGAGCACATTCAGACAGCAACACACTCACGGTATCCTGACACGACGGTTAGTTGGAATAATTATCCTGCAGCGCGACTATGTTCAACTTACTGAATTCCGTCGAGTCCAAGATCCATTTATTGAACAACACGGTGAGGTTTGACCAGAAGACCCAGGATCTGATCGCCGTCAGCTAGTTACGGTAAACACGGGAACCACCAACGGACGTACAGAATATCTAAGGTGATATTCCATGTCGGCTTTTTGCCGCCATTGAGTTCGTGATATGTCATTTCACCTCGTTCGTTTCCCCTGGTATTTCTGCGACCAGAAGCAGTTTATAATATCTCAAAGGGACTCCAATCACAACTCAAGCCCCAAACAAAGAGAAGGTGGCGGAGCGATGTAAGACCAATTCGTTAAGTGGGGTCCATTTGCCTAGAGGGCGTCTCGTTTCATCAGACGGCCATGACTATTAAGCGTTGAGTGATAAGTGTACGCGCAAAATCGCAATATTAGAAGTAGCCAAAAAAGATTCATAAGCTGGCTCTAATTCTTACTTAAGTTCGCGAACTGGAGGTCTAGGTATCATTCGACTGGGGCTGTTGTACGGAACTAGCGGATGGGTGTGATTGCCCGTTGCCCTAACCAAGGGAGTAAACATGGTTGCCTGGAACACCTTCCATTCGCTGAGCGCACTCCACATTACGGTCATTACGGTAAGACCCTGAAAAAAGAAAAAGGGTTGGGAAGCTAAGAATAATCTCTTGACCCCTGTTTTGTGCTCGCTTCGCCGTTTGCGACTAAAGCTCATGGCAGGAGCACCCCAGCAGCTGAGTCAGGTACCAGCCGATGCTACCTTAAGCCGAGGCAGACTTAGCTTGATTTTTTTTTTTTAGCTTTGTCTGACTTCGCATTTCTTGGTCCTGCGAAGCGTCCCAATCCGAATTGTTTGGGTCGATGAAACCTTGAAATGAACTCATCTTGCATTCCTTGCCCCCGAACATGTTCACCCGCTTGCGGAATAGAAGGGACCCGCACGGCGGTCGCGTTCAAGCCTTTTAGTCTTCCGTTTTAATCCGCACTCTTCTACTAGTCCCACTAACTCTTGTGGAACTCTAGAAATGACCATATGGGCCCCAAAGGTGCGGTGATGAAATAGAAATTATCGTTCATATTACAATAATTACAAAGTTAAGAACTCGAATAGATCCAATTCTATGGTAACAAGTAAAAATGAAAAGTAGAACCTTTGGTATACAACTCTCACCACGAATGGGTACAATACGTAATAAAGTAACTAGGCCAAGCTTCCACCTCCATCAATCGTTTGCACTCCTCCGGATCGAACGTCGGGTTCTCCCACGCCGCCTGGCAAACGGAGGCATTGTTCGCATCATCCACCCAGCTGAAGGGGTAGATCTGCTTCTCCGGCAGGAGCACCAGCGCGTCTTGGATGTGCGCGCCCATGGCAAGCTCACTCTCGTCGCAAAACAACTGCCAGGATGCTGCCGCCGTTGAATCGTCTTGCATGCATGCTGTCGCAATGAATTGTCTTTGAAGTTGTCCCAGTATTTCTTGATCATCAAGCTCAGTGCCCCGGGTCCGGTCAGACCCTCGACAGATCCATCCCCGGTTCCCTCCGGGTGTTCGATCACGTTGAGAACCGGAAGAAGCCAAAACGGGTGACCTGGCGGCGATGCCATCCAGCCGTTGGGCACCGCAGCGGAGCTCAGAATATCTACAGTGCGAGCCATGCGACCTAGGAATGCGCGCTGCACGGTGGCTTTTTGAAACGTCGGGGCAGACGAGAGGGTGTCTTGGTGTGCAGCAAGAGCGGTTTCATGCCCGGCAAACAGCGGCGCGACAGGGCGCAAGGCTTCGGTATCCACGTCGGCGTACATCCTGGTGCAATTAGTTACATTGCGAACGATTGACTAGACGAAGCGCTCGGAAGGACCTACCCGCCAAACAAATACATATAAAAATTACGGACAACGTCCGCCCGGAGGATTTCTTTCGGAAGACTGTCATAAGTCTGCAAGAACCAAGGGAAATACTGTTCAACCAGCATTCGATTGGTTTCGTCATCCCAAAGCACATATTCCCAGTCCGAGTTCTGCGTACGCATGCCATGTACCCATTCTTGAGCACGCTCGCTCATGTTGCTGCCCGCTGGAAACCATGTCTGATGGATGATCTTAGGAATCGTGGTTCCATCGTGGGATAGTGGACGCGATAATAGAGTGCGAGCAGGCAGTTCACGGGCGATTGGGGGCGAGTTAGCTGGCACCACCGAGGGTACGATAGATGAACGGAAGGGATAGGAGAGGAGCAAAAGAAAGACGGAGATGGAGAGGATGAGCTGGACCCTCCGCCGAGAGAGGCAGCCAAATGGCGAGTCAGCTACCATTTTGAAGCAAAGACCTGTGTGGCTTCGAATTTCGTAGTAACAAACGTCTAGGTTATAAACATGTATAGAGAAGTTCGAGCATCGACAGCCCTCATCGAGCTTGCCGTATCCAAATATCTCAAGTTGACAGATGATGCATCAAATCTGCTATGCTTATGTAGATGTCAGCTGGAGAAATGAGAAATGGAACGATTTCGTGCTGCGCAATGGCTGCCCTGATCCTGGTCTGCGACCGCTTCCAGCCTGTACCCGAGTCCAGAGCCCGCATTCCGGAAACGGCGATGTATGATACTTGAGTTGGAGAACCTGTCATCCACCCAACTACCACATAGTTCCAATAAATCAGGTAAACCCGGTGGAAACAGCATGTCAGGCGATCCAGCTCTTCTCGTTACCGGCCAATGTAGCACCTGCCAAAGCCTACCGCTGCCGGCCAGACGATGCGTAACCCCGGCTGTCAATGCCCGAAAAGTGCAGTTATACACGATTCATCAATCTTAGAACACGGCATGAGATATACTATAGTGTGCTTGTCAGACCAATTCATGATCAGTTGCTAATGGGGATGTTTGTTGGACTGGTGGTCTTCTGTTACCTATAACCCAAGGCTCCTAGAAGATGTACCCGGATTAGGCTTAGTGGAGCATCAGGAAAGCAACACTGGCGGCGCGGCTCAATAAATGATCCGTACATAGTAGCAGTCGGAGTCACTTGACGTCTTGTTAGAAGTCTCTACAAAAGATACTATGATAAAGTGTACCCCTATTGTGATAGTGCTCGACGATCATACCCCATTATCCGGCATTGCAGAAAATATATTTCCAACGGTTGGATCAGTGACTTCCTCGTATCTTAGGGTCTATATTTTCCTAGACCTGTAGGAAATCTGACTACAGAGTTCCAAGGTCTACATTTTGACTAATGTGTCTGAGATACCGTGCCTAATTAAAGGAATAAAGGTTCAACCGTGACTAAATTGGTTTATTCACATTCCTATCATGTATGGCCGAGGCGCGGCTTTCTGCGGTAGATATCTCCGGCCTCCCACCGTCCGCGGGAGATTAATGCTCTACTGTGCGGGCAAATAGGTACTAACCTCCAGCCCATTACTAAACGGCAGTGTCATGTTAACGAATCCACTACCCGGATCGCGCATAAAATCCAAAAGCTCCTTATACTTCTCCGCGGCGGCAATGGTATTATCCGCCACAACAACAGCGCCATATCGCATATGCGGCAGGATGAGCTTCAACGTCGGCAAAGCCATGGGAGTCCAAACTACCGACAACAATTAGGAAGGTGAAGTACGCAATGAATGAGATCAAAGGGAAGAAGCATACTATCAAGGAGCAGCAAGTCCACCGCCTCCACGTCCGTCTTCAAAGTCTCACGGAGATCTCCCTCCCGCAGGTCAACCACATTGGTAACGACGTCCCCACATTGCGCCCAATGCTCCCGGGCCTTGGCCGCCTTGGTTGGCTCGTTTTCGGTGGCTATCACACGGCCCGTACCACCTGTGGCTGCTACATTGGCTGACACGGCAAGGGCCAGGTAGATGGTGCTCACGCCGAAGGAAGTGCCGGCTTCGACGACGGTCTTGGCGTTAATGATGCGACAAAGCTGATACAGATATTGGGATTTGTCTTCATCGAGGGCGATGAACTTGTCGCGCATGACGTCGTCGAAGGTTCGGCTTTCAAAGTCGGCATCTGTGATGGCGGATTCTTGGGTCGTGGATTGCTTGTGCAGGGTGGTGAGGAGGCTGCGGATATGTGGCGGGACGCCTTCGAGGGGGTTCGGTGAGGACATTCTGCTGATGGTTTGTTCGTTGGTTCTCAGTGAAATGATAATGAGGCAGGGTAGCCCTTTTTTTCCCGGAGTGACGATCAGAGTCAAGTGAGGTTCGAGTAGCTTTTAAGGTTGCGTGGTTCGGAAAGACGCCGCGAAAGCTTGCATTATCTGATGATGGTTCCCCGCTCATATATGAGTCAAGGATACTCTTTGAAGGCTAGTGGTGAGATTGTTTTGCCCGACACGCCGACAGGGAGTAGCGCTAACCCCGGTTTAGGAATGTGACTCGTATACTAGGTACCTATATGGATGCTTTAAAACAAGGATCCCGACAAGCCACACAAGACTCTACACTGGATTGAAGTCATAATAACAACTTGTTGGTATTAACTCATCCTAGGACTTATACTCGGCCGTTCAGGGAGGATCCGGCCTCCGAACACCGAGCAGGTTTCAGCCATTAAATCAAAGTCAAACTACCGAAAACCTGACCACGCTCTTGGTGGGGCCGCCACATACATTGAAACACGAGCCGAATAGCTTCTGGTCGCATGTTCGAAATGCACATGCACAGTAGAAGATGGTAGGAGCCCGATTATTGTCAGAAAGAAATTGTTTTCCGTGACTGGAAAATTCTGTCAACGTTCTTCCGTACCTTCTCAAACCGCATAAACGAGCATGCCTCGCTTTCTAGGTGGTTAAAGAGCGCAGCGAGGGTGGTAAACTGCTTGACACATCTACCATTGGAGTTCGGGCAATGATACACGTTTTGCTTATGGACCGAAGAGTTGAGATGTGAATCCAGGGCCGTGACCGAGCGGAATCCCCGATGGCATAGGTAGCACTCCCAGCACGATCCGTTGAAGGCGTGGTCGGTAGCAGAGTAGTGGGAACTGTCTTCCTTATGCCACTCGATTTGCTTATTTGTAATGACGCCCTGCGGATCTCTCTCGTGAACTATACGGAGAATGGTTTCTCGGTTGAGTGTGGAGGCACGAGGACAGGAGCCTCGTTCCAGGTGGTGGGCAAGGCCACTGGCGGAAGTGTAATTAGCCATGCAGAATGGACACTGGACATTCTTTCCGCGATGAATCTTCGAATTAAGATGCTATCGATATATATGTCAGGGCCACAGAGAGTACAGTTCGAAAGCCCAGATACGATCAGGTGGGGATGTCTTACCATACGGAGATCGTTCTCGCTCCGGAATCGTATTCCACAAGTACGGCAGTAGTTTTTAAAGTGAGCCTTACTCTTCATGTGCATTTCCGCCGCCTGTTCGGTGGAAAACCGCATGTTGCAAGTCTCACAAGGCACTCTGGGAGCCCAGTGTCCCACTGCCGTCATATGTTGATTGGCAGCATTCTGGGAGCCAAAATCCCGCGAGCAAGTCTCACAATTGAAACGAGGTGCCCAGTGCCCGGCGTCATTCATGTGCTGACGGCAAGCACGAGAACTACGAAAGGTGCGATAGCATGTCTCACATTCAGGCCAATGACCGTAGTCTTCCATATGCCACTCGTAGTCATCTTGGTCCCAAAAGGTGTCCCTGCAAGTCTCACACTCATACATCGCAGCAGTGGCTGATCCGTTGCGGATGAATGCAGGAGAGAACCGAGATGGAAGTATTGGAATTGGGAGAAAGGATGAGGGGTTGGAGTTTACTACAACAGGCAATGTAAAAATTACCAACCAATTGGGTCTATTGCCGAGGCCCTAGTAAATTCACCCCTCCAAGTCCAAGATATTCATCGCCCTTTTCACCGCCTTGCAAAGTCACGATTTCTTTTCAAATTGGGCCATGTTTGCTTTGTTTGGCCATTCCTAATTTGGTCGCTATTCATCTTCACCACTGCATGTAGCAGGCGCGATTTTAATAGGTACACGATTGAATCAGGATCTAAGGATGTCCTCAGTCCGCGTCAGTCCCGATTAGAGGGAGTCGGATTTGTGAATAAACGACCAGTCACCTTTCCTTCCGCCAATCGCTCCAGTCCCACTGGAATACTGTCGAAAGAAATCTCCTCTAAAATGGGAGTAAGGCGTCCGTCAGCGATGAGGCTTAAGACCTCCTTTAGCTCTTCCAGACTTGACCCGATTGATCCCTGCAGGGTGATGTTCCTGGTGATTAAAGCATGAGTATCCAAGCTCATCTGCTTCGCAGCCAGACCAACGGCTACCACGCGACCGCATGGTTTGACGGCGTTCACTGCTGCCGCAGTCGTTATGCCAGCCCCAGCAACGTCAACCACAGTATCAAACGCAATATCATGGGATTGATCAAGTCCGCTGGCGCACCCGACAGCCCCTAGACCCCGAGCAAGAGGGAATCTGCTCTCATCAATATCCACCGCATACACCCGAGCTCCGTGAATAGCAGCAATCTGAATGGCCGAGAGACCCAGTCCACCGAGTCCGATAATAGCCACGGTCGTATCGGGACCAACACGACCTTCGGTGACCACGGCGTGATAGGCGGTTGCGATCGAATCAGCCGCGACAGCGGCCTGTGCGAAAGAGACGGCCGACGGGATACGGATGAGATTCTGCACCCAGGCCATGGTCTGCTCTGCATAGCCGCCGTCATAGCCGAGCCCGACTGCTTTGGATAAACTGTCCTCGGCCACGGGATGTGTGGGGATACCTGCCACGACCCTGTCACCGATTTCGTAATCTGAGACTCCTGGACCGAGTTCAACGATTGTCCCGGCGACTTCGTGACCTAGTACTATCGGTCGCTTCATGATCATGCTGTACTGATCGTCCTGGAGGATGATGCAGTCGGAGTGACACAGACCAGCTGCTTTGACCTGGATGATCACCTGGCCTTGCTCTGGTCGGGGACAGGATATCGTTCTCGACTGAAGACCACTTTGCACATCCTCAAACTGGAATGCTCTCATGGTTGACATTTTGAATTTGTCCCGTCTCCGTTTCGATGTTCTTTTCCGTCCTCCTATTCAAATATGCCGTTCAGAGTACGAGTGCCAAAGTTTCCAAATCATGGTGGATGGGTGAATATTTAAGCTTCTAGGGAGATCATGTGGAGGTGAATGGTTGAAGAACAATGAACTGCAGCCGAAGAACAATCGATAAAATTGCATATTGTGCTGGTGGAGAATCTGGAGATATACCGGCGATTCGCTCAAATAAAGCCCAGGCGTTGGACTAGGAATATAGCCACCCAGAGTCGATCATTTCCAGGTGCAACATGTAGAATATTCACCGGGAAAGTGAACAAAAGAGGGCTACACACAAATGTCGTCCAGAGTTCTGTGAGAAACAAAACGGCCTGCGCCAAGAACCACGCTAACAAGGCAGCAAGGCATCTGCCTGTTTACCCGTAGGCACGGTCGAGTTTTTGCCTATGGCAACGAGATTATAAAAAAACTTGAAGTTCCCCTTGTCGCATACTTCAAGGCATGAGGTGCGGTTACACGAGTCGGATCTTCAATCTGTCTCGTCGGAGTATTGCTGCAAGGTATAAATTCGCCCCGATCAGGCAGTGGAAAAACATGGCCTTCTTATCGGGCTGTCCCAGGGTTGACCACCTGGACCGTGCACCGACCCCAGAAGATCTCCATCGAGTATATCTCCGGACGGTGGAGGACACCGACACAGTGTTTGACACGCTATTGTCCATACTGCGACAACCGGCCCTTGGCCAGTATGTCCGTCATGTGAAGCTGGACCGCGCCGTGGCGTATCCACTCGAGCCGCCCGGCCTCAAAACCACGAGAGAGATCAGTGAGGAGGACCGGAAGCTACTGGAGGGCGCAATACTCCAGGCCGGGTTTGAAGGCAAGCAGCATGACATGATGATGAACATCGTTACGCATCGGCCACGTGAATCGAGGTGAGTCGATAGCATGTATGCACGTAAGAATGGTACAGACCGTGCTAACGTTCGGCGGTAGCTTTCACGATACGAAGCGGAAAATCGATTTAATCCATCTCACGCAGGCACTGACTGCGTTGATGATCTCCGTCGCTCCAAAGCTAGAGTCTTTCGCCTTTCCCGTGATCAGTGGCGGATTCGACTCGCCCGAGGAATGTTATCTTATGCTGCAAGCGTTCTTGGAGCGAGCGAATGCCAATCCGACGGAGATACCGTACCTGCAAAATCTACGCGACGTGAGCTGTCTCAGCAATAAAGATCCTATATTGAGCGATAAGCGGTTCTACGAGAACTATGACTTTGCGGAGCAGATGAAGTTGGTCGGCAATTTGCCAGCCGTGGAGACCATAAGGGTGGATGCTATTGAGGATAGACACGAAAGTATAGAGCTCGAACCTCGATCGACCAACTTCAAGAAGGTTTACATCCAGAACTCGAATTACTCCAGCCGAAGCCTGGCCGAAATCATCAAATCGTGCAAAAGACTTCAAGAATTCAAATACTCGATCGGTGGACGAGCTTCTGTCGATGGCAGCCACGCTATGTTCATAGAGCAGCATCTGCTAGACGGATTACTCTACCATACAAACACGCTACAAAAGCTTGAGGTGGATGTCGACGATGAATTCTTTGATGAGCGGCCAGCGTACTGGGACACAGAGGACGAACATAGCGTCAAGGATCCATACGAGGATGCTTCCAATGAGGGACGGCCTATGTCGCTCCGAGACTTTACCGCTATGACACATCTCCGTATAGGAATCAAGCTACTGATGGCCCTTGCACGTGCCAGTATGAGCAAGGGTGGCTTGGAGGAACCATCGTTTTCTTTAATCGACATTCTTCCCCCAAACCTGGAGTACCTGTGTATCTTAGGATATACAGTTGGGACCAATAGTAAGCATGACGTCCAGATCTCCTTTCTCATGGAGCATCGCGACAGGCTACCGTTTTTGAAGGAGATTGCTGGTGTAGATGTGCATATACCGAACGCAACATCAGTTGAGGACTAGGAGGAAGACGGTTGTCTGGCATTTTCATTGAGCGTCAGAAAGGATGTCTGTGTTACTGTTCAGGCAATGGTAACTTGCTCAGGGAGATCGACTTTCGGCAATCAGTTCGTACTCCGAGATGCCGTGTCTGTAAGCTATATAATGCTGTACATAGGTCTAAATAACTGAATGTGTGTTTTTGCCATGTGAACCTTCCCTATATTCATAACCAGATTACATTGTTGGGCCATAGAAACAAATTCGTAAGAGCCAGTTCAAACAGTAGCTCGATTATTGTTTTGTGAGAAATTGATGCTGGCGTGAGGGAGAGGCATCTAGTGCAGTGATTCAGGGCGAGGCGCTTTCGACAAACGTTGACGTATAATGCAACCATCAACTTGGCCACTTACGGGATGTGCCAAGATCGAAGTAGATTCCATTGAGGCATCTTGTAAAATTATATCCGTCCCACTGTCTCTGTGTACCCAACTAATGTAGATACCAAATCATAGCCGGTAGATGACATGGTCGCTTAACACCACTGAGCCTGATGGGTACAGCTGCAGTGGTACTGTACGCTAGCCTGTGGATATTAATGTCACGACGATAAGAGAGATAACATATCAGGAAACTAAATATGGCGTTTGAGCCCCTGGACTAGGCTTAATGAGGGTAACAAGGCCGTTGGCAAAGGGGGTAACATTATCCAATTAGCTGATGGTGCAGAAGACAATCTAAAATAGTAATTTTCAACTGGTCTCACAATGTGTGCGGAGGGGATACGGCCCCAGGATACCCCTGGAAAGCAACGATAACGCAAGGGTCTCTGGGCATGGTTGTACATCCAAAACAACGATGATACTACATTGTAAGCACTAAGACACTCCTCTACGCGAGGCAAAGGCCCACCAACGCACAAGGTAGAGGCAGCTCTGTCTAACGTCTCATTCTCATTTGGCGTAACGCGTTGTAAGCGGATATGAGGCAAACAAATTCCATATTGGCCTTAGAGCTAACAACTTTGTAAATTAAAAATAAATAGTCATGCAAAAAAGAAATTCCAAAACCTCTCCCAAGCCACCCACAGGTTGGAAATCTTTTTACTGGTAAAGGAATAACTCGCCCCACATTACATTTATTGCCGGACTGTTGCCTGAAGCAAGTCAGTGTCCATTTATGAGCTAAGGTCGGTGCGATCATCGTTCCACGGAAAGCGTCGTGCAGCTCCCTGGAGACCATTTCGGCCCAGTTCGTTTGCAAACCAAAAGTTCTCGCCTGGCCCTTGCAGACCTTCCATGACATGACCGGTGCGTCAGCAAATGTCCCTTCACACCGGGCCCAATACGAAGATGGCTAGATAATATCTTGCGTAGCAACCACTAGCCACTGCTTAACAATTCTTGTTTACGCATCCTGCCACAATGCCGCTGCCCCGCTGGCGCTTCCGGCGATTAGTCGTCTTAGCATCTGTCCTGGCCTTTATTTTTATTTGCGCCGCCCAATGGTCTTACGGTGAAATTCCCAGTGAAGAACATGGGTATCCCCTTCTTGCTCGATACGTACAATCCCAGACGGGGAAAGGCGGAGGTGAGTCTCGTCAGACCGCTATGGCAGTCCCTGCTGTGCGACAATCGCGAATAACAACGTCGCAGCATGGCATATCCCCGAAGAATGGCTTGACGATCCGACTTCGCGACCCGAGACAATCGTGGACGCAGCAAAACTAGCTACACGAAGAGCAACCTTGTCGGCCCAGAGGAGGATACCGCATTCTGAGATCCCACTGATCGTCCACCAAACATGGAAAAATACGCAAGTTGAGACATGGTCGCCGGTGATGCGCCAAAGCGCGACAAGATGGCTCGAGGCAGTCGAGGAAGACAGAATGGCCTACTTTCTCTGGGACGATGAAGGTGTCGCGCAATTCGTCAAATATTTCGAGCCTGAGCTAGAGGAGCAGTTCTACTCCCTCCCCAGCAATGTGGAAAGGTCTGATGTGTTTCGTATACTGGTGGCGAAATGGATTGGAGGGATTGTGAGTGTCCGGATGTTGATTCCATGAAAAAGCCATTGGGCATGTTCTAATTGATGTCATTGTGGGTAGTACGGCGACATGGACACCGAACCACTTCGAAGCCCCTCATCTTGGATTACGACAGAAGATCTCCGGAATTGGAAGGACGCAGAGACAAACCAGCTCTATGGGCCCGCTGGCCAGATACGCGCGATCGTGGGTCTCGAAGCCGATTGTCCACCCGAGAGCGATGCATACTGGCGCATGGGCTACGCCGAGCCTGTTCAGCTAACACAGTGGTCGCTCGCGGCGGCACCAGGACATCCCATTTTCCAAACGTTCCTCGATCGCCTGTCTGCTAGTCTCAAGAACACGACGTCTAGCAAGGGCAGTCATATACATTCTCAACAGGACCAGGCTACGCTGCGGAGAATCGATCCCCTCCTCCTTACGGGGCCTGCAGCCTTTACAGACTCCGTAAAGGGTTGGCTGGTAACAACTATTGGGCTGCGGTGGAATGCCTTGTCCGGATTAACAGATGGAGGGCAAAGTAAAGTTGTCGGAGATATCTTGGTGCTCCCAATTACTGGATTTAGGTACGTTGTGCTTCTCTGCCTTGGTTGGGTTTTGATGCTAATGGGAACAGCCCCGGAAGAGGCACATATGGGAATATGGGGTCGAAATCCATTGAGGACCCTTCTGCACGCCTGTTACATCATGCACAAGGATCATGGAGAAAGACTGATATCGTCGTCGAGCTCGGGAAATTTTGCCGCACAGCCTTTGGGCTATGCAGGGACTGGTCGAAGGTTTCGTATGCTCCAGAGTGACATTCCATTACGCATAGACTCTCTAATAATGGATATATTTCGTAATCTGCCAAACCTTATTTTGTGCGAATATGTATCTCCTATCAACCGTTCACGTCCAATTTATCTTGACTCAGCTACACAATCTGGTGTCGCTGAATATTGCCGGGCGGCTCGAATCGAATTAACATATATTCCCCGAATTAACGCCGGCCCTATCTCCCATGCCCGACAAGGCGATTCACCTCCTTATGCTATCCAAAAGGCTTTGTCAGAAGGTTGGAGCGAAAGTAGTGTGAAAGTTAATGTAAAATAACACGGCCCGATTGCGTAAAATCTACTAGCTTATAGTTCGCATCATTTGACTTTGCAGTTTTAACATGACGAATCAGCGTACGAGACTTTGTGCTGTGGGATGGTTCAAGACGATCCAGGCCTTCCATAGAACACGGTTGGTGGGTGGGGCGAAGAAAAGCCAAAAGGCGGTGACATCATACTAAAGGTAATTAACAGTCGCATTCACCCAAGTACTTTGGCACATTTGTCTGAAATACTGCCAGTGGGGACGGGTGATCATGTTTGGTGTTGGTGTTGGCGTTGGCGTTGGTCAGAATGGCCCCTCGACCAGGGGCTAAATCCGAGGCATTTTGGCCCGCGGAAAAAGTTCGACCCAACATCCTCGGAACATTTCCTCTGCAGGGTAAGACTTCATTCCGAGCTTCAATGAGGTTGCCTGTTAGGCAGTCGCATTAAATAGACCCGGATTGGTCCGAGAAGTTAAGCCTTGGCTAAGCCTTTGGGGGTGGGTCGCCACTCGAGCCCTAATCCAGCCTTACATCCACTAACCACGGGTCCAGACCCCCACTGGTTGACCCTGCAGCAATGTTTGGTCGATGACGGTGAGACGGTGCCGACGGAGCCCGTGGACTCCGAGTGCGTCACTGACTCTTGGGGAAAGGAACTCTAGGAGCAATTTCCGCTCAGCTTGACAGCTGTACTACTCGTTCGGGTAATATTGTTCATGATCCATATCATGTGTGTCTGCTGGCTGTTGAAGCGTCTCAGTCGAATGCTTCGAGGGCAAACCCTGAGGCGTCTGGCGTTTCCTCTCACTCTCCTAATAGTAGCAGTCTCTCTTGGACTGTATCTTCTGCTCGCATATTCCCTGGCCAACGATCCTCGTCTCGTTCCGATCGCATTCCAGGAAGCCAAGAGTATCCTTCTAGTGACCGCACACCCCGACGATGAGACGCTTTTCTTTAGTCCGACGATTACCTATCGCCGAACGGACCCGGATGTGAAGCGATCATTATTGGTTATATCTTCGGGTGGGTAGATGGCCAACCATAGAAGCAATGAGCGAAAGCGTCTGATATACGACTAGGCAATTACGATGGGCTGGGAGACAAGCGACAAAGTGAGCTTCACAGTAGCTGTGAGCAGCTAGACATCGCCCAGGATCGATGTGTTGTGTTAGATGTTGCCGAACTCCAAGATAATCCCAAGCAATGGTGGGACGAGGATATGGTTAAGGACCTCGTTTCTTCCTATAAAGAAAAGTGGCATGTTGACCTAGTATGAATGCCTTTGAATGAAATATACGCTTTCGCCATATCGCTGATGCCATACCACAGATAATCACATTTGACAACGGCGGTATATCCGGCCATATCAACCACCGATCGGTCAGCGCCGGTGTGCGGTACGCTCCCATTCAGCCTCCTCACATTGAAGAACCATGCTAATGCTCTCGGTAGCAAATATGTGCAATCCACACCAGATGCGCCCGTCGCATACATGCTACAAAGTACGCCACTTCTACGGAAGTACTCCTCGCTCCTCGACCTAATCCCCACTTCGATCCCTTTCACCTGGCGCATCCTGAAAGCACTCCTTACCACGCCACTCGGTAGACGGATTGACGATCACACGGTACACGACGTCGTTCCTTTGGCTGCGTACAATGACAAAGCGATTATTGTTAGCTCATGGCATACATATCGAGTCTCACGAGCGGCATTCAGTCAGCACGACAGCCAGTATTCCTGGGACCGTGGGCTATACCTGGTGGTCAGCCGGTATATGTGGTTCAACACGTTGGAAAGACTAGTCTAGTGCTTTACTCGGGTTGTGGAACAGTTAACGATACCACGAAATAATATAATTTAGTTTAATTTGTATATACGCTGAAAGTAACAACAACAGCAGATGATTAGAATATATATACCAGCATCCTGAATGCTCAAGCTATCTTGGTCATCCACTTGATCGCAAATGACGACAAGCGACGTTCTTCGTCGTCGGGCCTTGGTGCACGCCTCCGACTAATACATAGCAGTAGAATCACTGCCGTACTACCCAGTACAAAGACAAGGCCAGCGAACAAAATGCGCTGATCGAGATCTTTGAAGAACGTAATCAGTCGCGCATCATGCCGTGCCAAGAAGAAGAGCCGAAATGTCTGAAAAGTGGCGTGTTGACTACCCCATTGAGCATGTGCATTCTCGGTTGATCAGAGGGTCCTGCGAGAATCCGGATACTCGTGCGATTTGATTGCAGGGTAAAGATGGTCCTACAAAAGCAACGTGAGCTAAGGTCCTTGGTTCGCGACCGGGGTATTGCGCAGCACTTACGACGCGTAGTGGCAGCCCGTACTGAACATTACGGTCGCATATGGTAAAAATGGCCACACTTGGTTGTATACCGGGAGATTGTCAACGAGCGCATGGACGTAGGGGTTGTTGGGGGTTGCGAGCATCATGCCGATCGAGAATCCCGCGGGGTTTGCGGCCGGCGCGACAAATTCAAATCGACGCAACGGCTCCAGCGATCGCTTGCACGCCAGATCGAAGTCGAGGACAGCGCCTATGAATATTCACGGTCAACGGTTGCATGGCTACTTGCGCAACGGTCGCTGGGGCCTACCTCCGTATTTCTGCAGAATCATGTAGCGCAACGCATCCACGCGCTGTACATTGAATGGATAGTTGGTCCACATTGCATAGAGATGCGGATAATTTTCTTGCACGAAGCTGTCCGCATTGTCGTCCGTCCACAGGTGGGCCTCCCAGAATTCATGATGTTTGAGGCATTCCGCTCTCGCATCCAGCCAGTTTTTCGGAGGCGAATTCAACCCGAGGTGAATATGATGGATCCTCCTAGGTATGTATGGTCGTATGCCTGTCGCATAGGTGGAGTAGTTCGCATCGTAGTCAGCGAATGTGACATCGAAGTCGTCGTGTTGCTGGGATATGATCGCGTCCGCTGAAGATGCTTTCCATACGAATGGCATTCGAAGCAGGTAGTAGAGCCGAAGCAGCGAAGAGGACGACAGCCATAGTAGGATCAACACCAGAGTGCCCACCACAATCACCCTTGCCCTATTGCAAATCATCGTATCTCCGTGCTGCCTGTGCCAATCAATGCCTGAGTATGAAGAAGGGATCTAGTAATAAGTGGAGATTCATTGTGTTACTGAACGGGCGACGTTAATACATGGCCATCGCAAGTGAGGTCGAGAAGACCCTTGAATCATTAGGCTGATCATCGTGGCATTGGCGGATGGTCGCATTAATACGAGACGCAGTGACCATCGAGTAATCAAAACTCGCTTGCGCAAGCCATGCGCTCTCCGTGTCGGAACGCCTACGCGGTTCGGAACTGGGATATTGGTTCTTCTATCTATTGGACTGAGCTCCACTTTCTCACCCTACTGCGATCAAATTATTAGGGGCTAAAGGATAGTGCCCGATGTTTGGTTACGGTAACCTGACCTCAAAATAGGTTGGAAATAGCGTGGACGCGCAGCGTTTACCTACTATGTACTAGTGGACGTACTGTTGGTACAGATCTGAAGTTTGAAGTTATTATTTTGCTGGCCCCTTGTCATGAATGGCATAATCCAAGCCATTTCCGGCCTGTCGATCCCAAAAGAGAATGATTACCTCGTCAGCTAATAGGCCACCCAGTTTTCATGGGAAGCTTCAAGACGGAAGAACGGGTCACTGAACCACGTCTCAACTTCGCATAGCAGAGCCTATTAAGCCTGGGGCTACCACTGCACCGCAGCCCACCCGTAACCCAGGGATTCCTTGTTGATGGTTGGAACCATAAGCCCAGAATACGGCTGCCTAAAAGATCGGTAAGGAAATCTCGTCTATTTCATGGAGGGAGAAACCCTCGGACCCCGAGACCCACCGTACCAACTTAGGCTGGCCGTATGGAAAGCTTAGCGTAGCCTAATCCCCAACAGGGTTTTCTATTCTACTTGGATTCTCATTGTTGCCTGGACGCCTTGGGTGAGCGCTAATTTCCCTACTAGAGGGGCGAATTGTTGGTGGGACTAGACTCAGTCCACCGAGGTGATTTCCCTGCTGTGTCCGGCGTGATTTCACTATGAAATTTGTTCCATTCAAGTACCCTGGCCCTGTGCAGGGTCCAAGCGCTATGTCATTTAGGTTTAGCTTAGATAACGCTTAGTGATGTTGATCATTGCAAATTCGCCTTTAGGATTATCCTTACGTGATCTGAGGGGTCCAGCTTATGTTTGTCTCCCCAGGCTTACTCTTGGGTATAAAGAATCTTCTCCTTTTTTATTGTGCCTTCGCGTCAGCACTAAAGCGCAAACACATCTCTTTCTGGCTGACGGGAGGAATCGAACCCACATTGGAATGTTCTCGGCCCTATTTGGCCCGGGGTCCACGCTACTGTTCCTACTTTGGTGTCGTGCGGCATTAATTAGCACATTATGTGGCTTTGTCTAGTCCGTCTTGAGAAGTAATTATCAGGGTCCTGAAACAATGTATGGTGAGATATCTGCCATGGCTCAGGACCCCCACTAGCGAGGATTGCATATATCAAGAAAAGCTAGAGGCACAAATCAGAGGACGGGAAAGCGAAAACGTGGTTTCCTATGGTGTCAATCCTGTCCTAAAAGAAGCCCCCACTACATACTTTCAGAACAAGGGTTGGGCATGGATAGGCTGTGCGACTGTCTAGTATCTTTGGCCCCTTTAATTTCTCAAACCCCTCTTTAAGCCTCTTTTGAAATAAGGTGGTATCTAGAGTGACCTGGTTTCAGGATGGGCTCAGCGTGATTACAATACGTTTCTCTGTGCAAGCATGACAGACACAAAATGTCAATGTAGCCATGCCATTAAATTCATCCAGGTGTATACCTTCAAGTAGACTACTTGATGAATTGGCTCAGAGAATAGGATCGTATATGCAGTGTCCATGGGGCATGCCATGTCGTTCTGAGGAGGAACTGTCTTATGGGTCTGGGTCTGATTGGTCCTGTATAAATGGCGTTTTGTGATCCCTACTAATCAAGGACCCTTCTAGAATTTCTCTATCACACTCGTAGCTTTTGATACATTCCTCGATCATACACTGCGCCTTCACACAGACTTCGCTACAGTCCAGCGTCTGCCAACTGGAATGAGAATTGCTATAATCCAGCATACACAACTGTGTGGCCGCGCCTCAACAATCAGCCTACCGGCCTCGGCTCTGGCCCTGTGGCGGCTAAACTTCGAGAATCTGACACTTACTCCTGACGCGTACCATGGAAGATGGCAGGATAGAAAACGCTCTTGCCTGCTGACCGGACCAACGGCTTGAAGCTTGGCCTATGACAATGTCGCCCTGGCCCCTTAAACTAATACCAAGTTCCTGAACATCCTAATATGGCCATACCTCACGCCTTGGTGGACCTTCGGAAATACCGGTAGTAGACAAGTCTGTATATGTCACGGAGGTCACCCAGGGGTTCAACTGCCGACTTACCCGCGTGAATGGAGGGTTACGGGAGAGCCTCGTGAAGGATACTAACCTCCGAAGAACGTACATCGTAGGATACATTGAGAAATTGCCCCTATTTTCGATAGCCGATGTCGGAAATGCAGGACGAAGACGAAGGCTTTAGCTTGGTCTACTACTTTACAACGGCTGTTGATCACCCATAGACCAATCCTGCGATCGTGGCCTTCCTGAAGACAATTTCCTCTAGTGGAGCCTCTGTGGGCTAAGGCATGCGATAATCAATCGCCTCTACTAGGTCAGCCCCCCAGGCCCCCCTCCAGCATCAATTCCTCCGAGGGTTACTTCTGGTACCAGGAGAGAGCTCCACGAAGTCTTCGAATTTCTCATGGATATCCTTCTCAAAGACGATTTAGCAAGAGTAGTGGAGATCCCCTGTGTATCCACCCCAGGACTCTATTGTACTGCTATGCATGATGACGAAATCAGCTTCATCCAGGCAGCGACGCTTCATTTGCTCAGAGGAGTCAATCAATTTCCCGCGGAGAAATAGCCTGCGGCATGGATGAATATTCACGCCTAGCAGTGACCAGCAGGGATTAGCTACCATTATCACCTGTGGGGTAGAGTCAGACAGCTTGTCTGCGAATATATGGGACAAAGGCGTTCCTGGCGGTACGGTAGGCAGCATGATTTAACTACAATGCGGGACAAATATTGCTTTGTCGCTAGTTATTGTGGAGTTGACCATACGAGGTGACATGCAGGTATTCCCTATCCGGTTTGCTGTACAGCAGGCTGCAGAGTTCTTCCAGTACTTTCCTGTATATTGGGGAAGCCACTAAGAACTCTTGCATTTCTTAGATGCGTTGAACTTCTACCAGTGGCACGAGGCGATGGAATATCGGAATGAATTCCGGGTCATAGGAACTTTGCTAATGACATTGGCGGTATTCCCTGGGCATCAAGCAACCCTATGACACAGAAACGTGCTTCACGTTACTGATCAACGGGCCCCAGGCCACTGCTAAATGCGCATAATTTCAAATTCATATTAATATTCTTCATATCAATGAACCGGTTCTATAGCCGTATAGGGCTAATCCAGTCACATGCGAACTGGTCTCAGTTCGGGACTATCTACGCATGTAAAGCTGTCACAGCCATACGTATAGCCAATTGCTTTAGTCATGTTCCACATTAACCCTATGCTGCAGCCTATATCTTGACTAAGTTTCTCTGGGGAAGCATATGCTAGGCTACAGTTGTAATACCGCAGCGGCCAATTGTAGCCCCTGCCCTGTTATCAGCCCTGTACTTTTATTGGGACTAAAAAAAGTTTCCAATCAATGGTACAGACCAAATGGCAGCCTTCAAGTTTCTACCAACTGCTACGTTTTTTCTTAGATGCTCGGTTAAATTCCGATGATGGATCCACTTTACTTCTACAGAGCTCGGAAAATCGTCGCGCTCGCCTTTCTATGGTCCGCCACCCACATCATTTAGGAATACACCGTGGTGCTATCAGGCATAATGGTACTGTGGGGTGCTTATTTTAGTACTTTATTTCTAGGCTTTGGAATTCGGCTGCCTACCGGCCTTGATGCGCGAGTCCTCTGCGTGCTAATACCATCATGGGCTTTGCTACTACAATCTAGAAGTGGCAAATTTACGCTAATTCACTGAATGGCACACTAAGTATTTTCGAGATACGTTGGTACAACGGAGGAGACATAGACTGTAAAACTGAATCCGTCATTCATGAACAAGATCTTACAAAGTAAAATGTACATATGAAAATACCCATTCCACAATACCCAAACTAAACCCAGGGTACACCAACTACGACTTGGCTACTGCAGTCCCCCCTTCATTCCGATCACCAGCACCTTCTTGTCCCCCTTCACCCTCCTTCTCACAAGACCAGTAAGCCGCAGACCTGCGCACCATAACCCCAATAAGACAAATGGCACCCCCCGCGACGACCCCAAGGACGAACGGGAGGATAGCTGGGTAGAACACACGCAGGATATCCACTATAGGCGTCCGATGATGTCCGTTGCTGTTCCGCAGATACGAGTACCGGTCGGAACAATGTTCCTTACAAGGCCGTGGCTTAAACGCCGACGTGAACGATCCGTAAGACTTCCCGCCGAATCTCCGACCAGCATCGAGCCATTTGTGAAGCTGGGGCCTGGACTCGGGTGTATGGCTCCGATCCGCATGTTTTGTCGGGGGTGATGGGTCCGAAGGCGTTGAGTCTCTATCATTGCCTTGGCAGTTTGAGGGTTCGGGACTCGGATTTATCGTGATCATTGTGATTCTAAGAGTGTCTTGGGCATCGCGGGAGAGCCCAATGGAGATCATGTTGATATCCGTTGGATGTCCGGACTCGTCGAACAGGATGATATCCAGGCGAAACTGGTCGGCTATTTGGCCGGTCTGGAATCGCTGGACGGGGAGTATGTTCATCCCGTAGCGTAGCGTCAGGGTTTCGGAGATTGACTTGTCTGATCTCGAGTGTTTGATAGCGGTTAGACGCATCGGGAGGCGAGCTGGTAGAATGGTGTTGCCGTTTGCCAACAGCGAGTCTTTCTCCGTGGAGAGTGCCAATGCCTGTAATGTTAGCTATGGTGTAGAGTTTGGCCGTCCGGTGCACTAACAAGGTATTCGTCTGATCTGGAGTTCTCATTAAGGTTGCTTCCGCAGATTGACGACGTGCGACATGGAAGATGGATCTCATGACCGGATGCAATAGGGAAAGGCTCGCGAGGTTCACCACGATTCCCCTGTGGAGTGCCATTGTCTGGGCTGGGTGGCGACGTAGCAACACAGGTGATGGGCCAGAGACAGGCCGCGAGAAGGGGTGCCAGACGCATATTGAGGATGGCTCAGGAGTTCTTGTTTGGTGCTGGCGGTGGTAATGATCGTGGCACTCGCTTTGTTGATAGTTGGCCTGGCTTGAACAGACTCAGTACCGCATTGGTGACATGTGGATATCTAGGGTTTGTAAGGATGAATAAGCTGACAATAAGGAATAGAACACCATGGCTCACCAAGTAGGCAAGTGGCGGTCCTGGACCCTACATATGCTCAGCTAATCGGACACGCACTGACATGCCGAATATGAGGTCAACAGAAACTCTAACCGTTGGAGACTGTGACGTGTATCACTGTATCATGAACGACGCCCCGCCAGATACTGGTGCGACACTTACTCTGCTGCCTATCTGATGGCCGCAAACTCCACACAACACGGGACGCTCGTCCATCCTTCCAATTCGGGCTCGGATTCTTCGGGCTCCGCGAACACTGGAAGAAGACAGTAAGTATGTATTCCGGTATTGCAAGAGACAAAAGCACCTTTCGAAGGGAATCTTACAGACGCTAGTAGAGTATGATATCCGCTTTTTTGTTCCTTATTTGACGATAATATTGTCTATTTCGACACCAAGTTAAAGATCATACATGATTACTATTCTAGCCACAGTGCGGGTATGGGAAAAGCTCCAAGAACGAGCACAAGAATTGTGGGCCATGCTTAGAATAAACAAGCTTTCGGAATTGCACTGCATTCCTCGCCAGCTGAGAAATCATAACACCATATCAACGTCTCGCTGGTCGCATGAATCTTGCCAGGCAACCAGATTCTTTGTGCCGAAAGCTGGGCTGATCACTATCTTCTATCTCCATATAGCGTCCGAAACGAGGTCCGACTTCAGGGCTAGTAAGAAAAACACTAGGGGTAAATGCAATTGACGCTCGCTGAGTTAGAGGCCAGCGGAATGGACGAAGGTTTCGCTAGAGGATATATTCTCCGAACAACAAATATCATTATGCCGATGGCTATTCTAACTGGTTGGATTCGTAATGTTGCCCCTCTGTACTAAAACGATCCCGAAGAGAATGAAGAGAATGGAACTCTCGCGTGTTAGACTTTTCATCTCTTAAATTCTCCAGGCGTTCGAGTTCCTTTTTCAGCTCTTCAATATCTTGTTCAATCTCACGGCGAGGCGCCACCCGGTACTTCAAGTTGTGAATTGCAGCAGAGATACCCAACAGCGCAATGGACACTAGAGGCGACCACTGGCCGACCTGTTGTGGTGTCTCTTGGGACGGCCCATCGTGACGGATATAATATTCGATCCAGGCCACGAAGGCGATAACAGTGAGTGGACTGATAACAATGCTGAATACTACGGCACCGATAATAACGACATCAAATGTCACCTTGGTCCACAACCCCAGCACTCGTAGGGTGAAAAATCGCGATATCCGTTTCCGCAGTGGTAGTTTCGTTCGCATCTTCTCCACCATAGTTTCCCGGCTGTCCCTTGATGTATGAATTGCGGCGTAGAAGTCTTCTTTCAAGCCCCTAATGATGTTCTTTCTCTCCTTCCAGATCTCCCATACTCGCGATGAAGGGACTCTAGAGTGATACGGCAATACCCTGACCAGCATCAAGAGGACATTCAGCACCATGCTGAGAGCGACCAGGCTATAGATGTACCGCTGAGAGTAGATTACCTTGCCCCAAAATCGGTGGCGCTTCGTGAATCGACTATCCCCCGCTGCTACAGACGCCTGTAACGAGGTTTGCTGGCGTAGCACCTGGGTAGTGTTGAAACATGGGTAGAAGCAGACATCATTCAGTTGAAGCAGCAACGAGTCATTGCTAAAGAGATCCCACACACTATTATTCCAGGTCGATGTGAGCTGCCAGGACTCCCATCCATCACTTGAAACAGGTGATATCGGAGGAAGCTGTGGCAAGCAGAAGGCGTACTGAATTGGGGTCTTTTTCAGTGTGGGCCAGTAGACCAGGGAGCATATTGACCCGGCAAACATAAGAACATTCCAGAGCGTGAATATAATGGAGCTGATCCGTTCTTTGGCGAATACACGAGACCAGCATTGGAGCGGCAAGAACACGAGATATGCAGTCACCACGATGGAAAGCACGGCGTCTGCGTCGAGTTCTATAGCCGCGGGACTGATCTCAATTTCGTTGGTCTCGGTGACCAGGGCCGGAAAGTCATCCCACAGGCTGGTATTGTCCGGAATCCAGGGAATAGACACGTTTTGTGGAGTAGGATGTTTTGTGGGACTGGAGACCAGGATGAACGCTTGAATGGCAGCTGTCCCGGCATAGGTAGCTGCGGCACCGAGGAAGACATCTGCCAGCCAGCCGGTCCAGCGTGTGACACAAACTGCCAGGAGCAAAGCATAGAAGAGATATCGTGGACACGAGTCATAGCTCGTGCTGATGGGGTAGGCACAGAGGACCTCTTCGACAACGAAGAGTGGCGACCGGTCAGTCGCGTTCATCTTTGCTGGTGATCTTTCGAAGGCTATAACATGCCTGCTTCTTCTTTTTCTTTCCTTCTGACGTTCTCTTTCCGAAAGTAGGTCCGTGGATGTAGAGACAGGTTCAGGGGGATTGTCAAACTATTGAAATAAATCAATTCTTGTGGGCGGTCCGCAGAAGGGAGCGAAAGTTTATCTACTTCTGGTTCTGATGGCCGAATTCAGCAACTCATGCGCGGGAGATCGACGCCACTATTTGGGACTAGCACCAACGCGCAACGTGGCGGTGGCTTGATCGAACTTGTCGCACAGCCACAGACCCTTTCCCTGGTCCGGCTGCGTTTCTTTTTCATAATCCATAACTCTGTTAGCTAGACATGGTCAATTTTAAATAGTTAGTTGGTCTTCAAAAGTCTGTGACGTCATCAGGCCTGGCAAGTTCCTGCCATCCCGCCGATATACTTCCCATAATGTGGGTCAAGCCTCCAGTGACGAAATATATATATTTAGACCTGTAATTTTGGGGGGGACTGAGTATCAAGCACAAACAACATCAAACATAAAAAAGACATACACAAGGCCAGAATAGCAAGAGATTAGAGTTATAGAATAATATTCAATTGGTCTATGCCCAAACCAATACTACATCTTCAGGAACGCTTCTGTTTAGGCTTGCCATGACATGCCCAACGTGGTACATAGTGACTATCACATCCCAGACTCGTACGGCCCGTTAGTTCCTCTATACTGTACCCCATATGGGTTGACAGCGGCATAATCATCCCATGCCTCGCACGTGTCTTTCAAAAGCTCCGGATTGAGGAACTTCCAGAACTCATCTTGCCGCTCAACAATCTGCTGTACGAAGCCCGCCGATGAATGAAAACCCATATGGCAATGTAGAAGCCAAGCTCCGGGATTATTGGTCGGAAACGCTATTACCAAGTACCCTCCGTTACTCTCGGCCGGCATTAAGGCGACATCCCGTCTGGGAGGATTACGGGTTTGCAAAGGGATGCTTCTGGAGAAGGGGCCGATGCCTTGGGCGAGGATATAGAAGTCGTGTCCTGACAGGTGGCGCGATCATTAGCTCGGTCAAGAAACATCTAGAATGCAATAAGAAGACTCTACCATGAAGATGGATCGGATGCGGGATTCCCTGGTTGGTAGCGATGATGAAGATAACCCATCGGTTTGCTTCGGGGAGGTTAATAGCTCCCGGGTCAGGGATTGTGCTGTTCATACCCGTGGCGGAGGAGTGTTGAAGGGTAGGGTCCTTCCACGAAACATTGAAGGCCCGGCCACCGATGGTCCATAGGAATATGCTTCCGGCGTTCGTGGGAGCGACTGCGTCGTTAAGGCTGGTTGTGTTGGAGATCATGGCGTCAAGAGCGACCCAGGGTACAAGGTCTGACATTGGCCTGTCTAGACACTGCGTGTCGTCTCCGTAATCCCATTTAACGGTCGTTGGATCCTCGCCGTCCTCTGCCCCTATATAGTGGACAATGCCTTTGATGTTGTCACCGGTCGGGATATTAGAACAGGCTGACTGAGGGACGGCCCTGATCCAGTAGTTATCAACGGGTTGGTCGGCTTGGACGATGATATCGTAGCGCTGGCCCATTCCGATGGCGATGTTGTTGGTAGCGAATGGGACAATTGGCACAAAGTCACTGGCGATGACTGTTAGGTTGTGGTCGTCTATGGAGAATCGGAAGTGAGCGTGCATAGCAGCGTTCACAAGGCGAATCCGATACTTCTTCCCAGGGACAAACTCCGTCTTGAACCTTTGACCAACTGTCTCACCATCACTAGTAGTCCACACGTTGGTCATATTGATTAGACCAGTATCGATGACCGGGGTCGCAGGGTTACTGATTTGGTTAATATACATTTCGTTGAACGTGCGATGCGGCCAGTCATTAAGAAACAAAACGCCAAGGTCTTCATCATAGTCAGCCGCCGCAGGGCCGTGAATAATAATACCGCCAAATACCCCCTCCCACGCCTGTAGTGAGAAATGGGAATGATAGAAGCTTGTTCCGTACTGCTCAGCCTTCCACGTATAGGTATAACTCGTCTCGGGGGCAATTGGACACTGGGTAACCGAGACTGCGCCGTCCATTTGGTTATTGAGAAACTGTCGGACCCCATGAAAATGAATGCTGGTGCCGTTGTTTTCCAGGCGGTTTTGTACATGAACCTTAACGGTGTCCCCCCAGTCTACCTCGATGGTGGGACCAGGGTACTGCCCATTGACCAGCATCATGGCCCTTCGGACACCATCGGGGGCGGCCGTCATATTCGTGATGTCAAACCAGTATTCCCTCACAACTCCAGTATCTGGGCATTTGGAATAGTAGTCAGTGTTGATATTGAACTGCTCGTGACCTGAGACTCCTCGAGACAGGAGACCTGCCCCGGATGAGAAGGGGCTTGCTACTAGTGGAGCAGTTTGCTGAAGACTCGCCGCAAGGGCCACAAGGATAAGTGGAAGAAGTAGGGTCGTCATGCCACAAGGGAAACTTCCAAGTCAAGTAAGACTTCGGTACAAGTGTACTCTGCCGATTAA